CCACACAGCACCGAAATATTTCAGAAAGCTCTCAAGAAGATGTCAATGAAATATGAAACCTTTCAAAAAAATATTTCAGACATGCTTCAGATACATGAAATGTCCGCGTAGATGAGATATCATAAATGTTTCTGAAATATTTCTGAAATGCTTCAGAAATATCTCTTAAATGCGTCGGAAATATTTCTGAAATGCTTCAGAAATATCTCTTAATGCTTCAGAAATATTTCTAAATGATTTCTATATTACATTTCAATATTAATTTCCAAGTTATATGTTGGATAGCTTTCAATAATATATATTTTAGAGATTACGTACGAAATATTTCTCTGAAATGTGTTTCGTAATATTTCTGAAATATTTCAGTGAGAAGGATCATAAATGATTTCGATGAAACATTTCAGAAATATTTCTAAATGATTTCTATAATATATTACATTTCAATATTAATTTCCAAGGTATCTTTTGGAAAGCTTTCAATAATATATGTTTTAGAGATTACATACGAAATATTTCTCTGAAATGTTTCGTAATATTTCTGAGAAATAGAAACATTTATAGAAATAGAAAAATAGAAACATTTCTCAGAGAAATATTTCGTAATATATTTCTGAAATATTTCAGTGAGAAGGATCATAAATGATTTCGATAAAACGTTTCAGAAATACTTCTGAATGATTTCAATGTTACATTTCAATATTAATTTCCAAGGTATCTTTTGGAAAGCTTTCAATGACATGTGATTTTGATGAAACGTTTCAAAGATATTTCTGAATGATTTCAATTTTACATTTCAATATTAATTTCCAAGTTATCTTTCGGAAAGCTTTCTGAAACTTGTTTTACTGTGTGGGAATGTCAAATATAATATTTAGAAAAACCATTTTTTCGAAAACCACAACGCACGTTTCTAAAAATGTATAAAATATTAATATACATCTTATATGTGTGTAATTGCGCTCAATGATTAATTAATCTCCAATCGATTTAGTGGATTCAAAAGTAATTTCTTTTTTTCGCAATAATATTACAATATTAACGCAGACACAAATGATATTGAAATATTATTACGAAGAAAAGAAATTGCTTCCGGAATGTTTAGCTTATAATCTCTCGATAACTGTTTGTCGGAGGGAAAAGTAGTACAGGACTTTTTTACTTGATTCAGGAATATGCCGTTGCAATGGTGTTTCAATTATTGAAAATTTTTATTTATTGTAACGCATAAAATTTACATACACAAAATTTTTCAATTCATCATAATCCCGCCACTAAGCCTATCACACAATGCCAGGCAACAGACAATAGGAATAGGGAATAGAATTTTCGACGCGTTGGATTCGTCGGAAATTTTCTTGTAACCAATCCAGCGTGTCAGAAATTCTATTCCCTATTCCTATTGTCTGTTGCCTGGCATTGTGTTTCGGCCTTTACATTTTTCGAATGCTCGAAATGGAAAACCAGCTGTGTGCCGAGCGATTACTTTGATTTTTGGCGCGGCGGCCTAATAGGGAATTCATACGGCGTCCGCTTGTGAAATTGGCCAGTTCTAGGGACTTCGGTGGTCAGTGTCGTCAGGACACGTTCCTCCCTCTTGGAAGGAATTTTTCTATTGGCTCACGCGCTCCACCGTGCCACCACCGCAGCGCCGTCGTCCGCCGATCGCCATCGCTGTGCATTTCCTATGCCCAGGCACCGTCACTGTTGACGTCGCGTCGCTCGTGCGCGCGTGTGTGGTGCATTGCGTCTCGTGCGGGGCAAGGTCTACGGTCGCGTCACGATTATGTCGAGTATCGCGAAGCATCCGGAACGACTGCCGCAGGCGTCCGTGAAATAGCGCGAGTCGTCGAACGGCGAGCGGCGACGAGATCGCGCCGAGGGCGGCCGAGGGAACGACGACGGGCTTCTGAGGACGGGATCGCCGACCGTCGAGACTCCTCCACGTCGTAAGTAACGCGTACGCTTATTATCAGAGGCGACGTCACGGCGAACGGAGAGAGATCCTCGCGAAACTGCGCGTTTCACGAACGATCTCTCGGGCGGGAAAATAGAAGGGGATCCGCCGAGCGAGAGGGTCGGCTCTCGCGCGACGAGCGAGACTCTCGCTCCAGCGCAGGTATGGCGCACAGTGAAAAAGCTGCGCGACGACAATTACAAAACGTTAACGACACTGTCGTAGGGAGTTGCAGAATACGAGTCACGGTTCCACGTTTGTGCGGCACGCCAGTCGTAAGTCACACACGCACACACACACACACACACTCTCTCGGAGAACGAATAGTCTCTTCCACTTGGACGGATTTCCCCGTTACGGTTTGTCGCACCGAGGAGACCCTCGAGAATTCGCCCCACGCAGCTCACCGCTAGAGCCTGAAAGGAATTTCACCCTCGGCGCGGCTCGAGCCTACGGATAAAACACGCCGTCACCCGGAGCGCCGCTGGCCGACGTCACTCCAGGAGTCTGTATCGTCCTCGAGCACATGGCCTCGCCAGGGGAAAGGAAGGAGACGGACGCACTCGTGCACGCGCGGCGACGGCCGATGTTCCCCCCCCCCCCCCCCGATCGTTAAATTGACTCACACTTCCGCGGAGAAAGCCAGGTCCAATTATCCGTTCTTCGCGCTCGTGTTGCATCGTGCCTTCCCGAGAATATCGGGGGGAGGGGGGGGAGAGAAAACGTCGCCCTCCCTCCGCTCTCCCCACCGATTGTGGAGCGGCTCCACGAGGCGCGGCCACGTCGACGTGAGGAGAGGCTTGTTTTTCCATTTTTTTTGCGCCTCGTCTTGTCTCTCGTCTTTTCCCCGGCCAACGTTCAATTGCGTACCCTTTTTCTCTTGACTACGGAGATAAAACGCCACGTGGGGGAAACGGACCTCGAGAGATTTTGCGATACTAGCTCGATTTTTGTCCCAGAACGTTGATCTCGTTCCACCGTGGAGTAAAGTGAGCTTGCAGTTTCGCCGAGAGACGTTTTCTGTTCGAGAGCTTTCTCGCAAATAGCATACCGAGGATTAGTTAATCCATCCAGGGGACGTCCGGTCGTTGTGTAGCGATCCACTGTTCTGATGAAAATACACCCCTGGTCGTTTCGAATATTTATACACGGGATTGTCTGTCCGTGAAACAATTTGCAGCGCGCGTATCGCTTGATCTGTGGGACAAGATAGGGAGCGAAATGGGATACGTGTCTGTAACCGGACTTGCATCATAAAATGTTTATCACTGCTTAGTCATACATGTTGATACAGTGTGGGAACTTTCAATGGAGTATTTCTCAGAGACACTTTCGAGTACGTCGTATTTGCTGTTTGTGACTGCATTTTTGCGAATCTCTTTTAATATAATGTATAGAATCTGTTGTGATTGATTTGCATAATTTACCGATGCCACAGAACTGTTACAGAAGCGATGAAGAATGATGTGACAATATATGTATAGCAGAGTTGGGAGCGTTACCTTAAAAAAGTAACGCGTTACCGTTACTTAGAAAGTAACGATTCGTTACTGTTTTCGTCACTACTTGAAATGCTAAAGTAAGATGTTAGATTATAAAATTACATTGCTGTTATTTAATAATCAATATTAAAACTTTAAACTAGTTTCTGTATAGCAAGTCATCGATAAATGCTTGCAGCGCATTCTCAGGTAACATTGACATCCAGCGCCCTATATCGGAATATTTTTGTCCAATCAAGAATAGTGCGCGCAACCAGCGTGCGATCTATTGAACAGATGTAAAAGATAATAGGGAACTAAAGTAACGATCGTTAAGGCCTTCACACATAAAATTCCGTAAGGATGTAAAACGTAAGCGTAAGAAAATCAACAGATTGGATTTGCTACTGCTTGCGTTATTGCCTTACGTTCTCCACTATGATTGGTCGATTTTCTTATGCTTACGTTTTACGTCCTTACGGAATTTTATGTGTGAAGGCCTTTACCGAAAGAAAGCAACGAAAACGGTAACGGCGTTACAAGTACCGCGTTACTTCCCAACCCTGATGTATAGTCCCATTTCATTGCAGTAATGTCGAGGGAGTAACCGCTGAGGGCATTGTGGTGTACAGATTTACGGCATTACTGGGCATTACTAGGCTTTTTTGGGGCATTAGGCCTTGCTGGGACAGTACAAAGATATAATAAGATAAAGTAATGCCCACTGGGCATTAGTGGGCATTGGTGTACAAGATTTTGGTCAGCGGTTTCCCCCTCGAGTAATATTAAGTCGGCATTAATTAGGCTAATAAACAAAACTTTCTTTTATCGTTTATTATTGGGCTCTTTACGGATTAAATAACTAATCCGTTTTGAACGATCGTGCGAAACTGATGAAATAACTCGAAAACGAAAAATGTTACGAACATCTGTAAGTCACAAATCGTGATTCGTCACGATATATCTGAGCATTAGTGACTAAGGGGCCTGTTCTGTAAACGGTGTCATTATGTGCTTTGCGCAGCTTCTCTTTGGTGTATTATATCTGCGCAAAGCGCTTAATGACGTTGTTAACTCACAAATAGATTTAATATCGCCAGTAGTATGAAACCAATGATATGTAGTTTTTAAGAAACTACCTACACTGTCCAGTTCAATCCGTCATCTCGTCCAACACACATCTCTCGATACTCTTACTTGTGTCTTACAATTAATAATGCAACTTCAATCGACTCGTGCACTCTTCAACCAAAGAGTGCAATCATTTTTTTTACTAATATCTCATTAACATAGCGATATTGGCCAAACGAACGATATGAGATCAGAAACAATTGTGTTAACAGATTACTTGAAAAGGGTCCAAATCCAGGACCGAAACGTCGTTTGTTAAATAAAAACATTGGCCAGTGTAGGTCGTTTTTGGGAAACTACTATCACTGACGTTGTTAACGTTTACAGAATAGGCTCCTAAGTTGCTAATAAATAAAAACAATAAAACTTATTTCGGCTGATACGTATATGTAGAAAAAGGGATACTAATATATACATTGAATACATCTTTTCAGAGGGAAAAATCAAGGAGAAAATCGAACAAACGCTACGTGAGTTTATCATCACCGAGGTGGCGGTCGCACAAAGTTCCGACATGAAGGGGTCTAAAATAGACTGGATTTTTAGAGTCCAGGTAATTTATGCACCCTGAGATCTTTTCTTCGACATTTTATTGCCTAGATATTGTCAGCAAACATTGAAAAGAAGAGAACTGAATACGTTTACCTACGCATTTGAAACTTGCTTGAAATTTCAAGGTACCTAACCTGGAGAAAAATGAAGCGGCTTATGTGGTTGGAAATCTACCGGAATTAGGTGCCTGGAATCACAACCAGGCTGTCCTAATGTCACAAGAACATAACAGTCGGAGAGAGTCTCCTGTACTGTTAGATAGCAGCAACAGCGGGGATTTCTATAGCGAGGATGGAGAGAACGCAGCTGACGGTATATTTGAAGAGTAAGCAATAATACAACACAAAATCTTTTCTGTCCCTTCTCCATTGTATTTCTTCGGTACGAGTACTTGGTAAACTCGTATGACCGCCATTAATTAGTATTGAAAGTCCGAAAAGTAAATTTTACGATGATAATATATTTATGACGTTTACATGTGTTACAATGTAAATATATTTCAGAGATGGACAAATATTCTCGCAGAAAATTGCTCTTCCTATCGACGCAAATATCGAATTCCGATATTTTGTAGCTGTCATTTGCCAGTCCAACGGTGCTAAAAATTCAGCCAATACTCTGATTATCCGTAGATGGGAAACTCATATGAGACCACGAGTAATTAAGAAAAATAGTACGTATTTATTGTACAAATTTCTGTGACTCTAAAATTATAATGTATGCTGCAAATATTATGGAAAGAGTGAGAACAAGTGTCCATAGGCAAATTGCCCCGTTTTTTTTCGCATTCGGTCATGGTCACAAAGTAGGTACCAAACGAAAGGTCTCGTCAAGCTGATTACAGATAGGTCAGTCTCAGAGTGTATGTATTTATCAAAAGGTTCCATTCCATACGAAACAAATGGTTGGTGCCTGTCCAGACGGCTTTATCGCTTATGTCCTGGGAATTTTTGGAGCCCGATATCTCTGGAACGTTAAATATGTATACTCTGAGACTGACATATCTGATCATCTTGACGAGACCTTTTGCCTGGAACCACTTCGTGGCCAAAATCGAATGCGAGAAAAATGGGACCGATCTGTTCTCACTCTTTGCAAACGTAACATATAATACCCTTAAAACATATATTACAAGTGATGTATGTCTATTTTGCAGCGCCGTGCAATTTTGACAATGATACGTTGCCAGATCCTGACAAATTTGGTTACTATAATAATTACAGCAAGATCGAACGAGGTTGGCTGACAGATGAAACTGTGATACAATTTAAACTTTTTAACAATCCTATTAAACTCTGGAAGAGCCGATTGCAAAACAAAAAAGTTCATATTAAGGTAATATTATTCTGTTTCTACTTTAAAAAATTAACATCTTAATTTAAAAACAGAATATTAATAAATCGTTTACTTGTAAAATGAGTGCACTAGACATTTGACTTTTTCACAAAAAGTATTATCTTTAGGTGATAACTGACATTTCGTTTATGTTACAGATGACACCTGTAAATCTAGTTAGGCATAATTCTTTAGAGCTGCAGCAGTTTGGAGGCGACTGTATAGACGATAGTCTTTCTATGGATACACAAGACATTGTTGATCAACCCGCCTTTACCAGTATTACAGAAGTTGCTGTAGGTGTCAATTTACATTTGAACCTGCTGCATCATCACGCGAGTAAAACTGAGCAACGGTATACGTATATTTCCAGGTGATGAATGACGAAGAGGCTAGATTCACGTCCCAGGAGCAATTCGGCCGCCCTTACAATGAAGACGAATTTTTAATCTTCAATGTTGCCGTTCGGTATCCTGAAACAATCGTAAGTTTCCGCGTAGATATATCTCGTCACAAGGCATCATACTATATACACTATTATGTGAAAAGCTGGGATTTATTGCTTGCATTGCTTGCGATTTTGGTATTGTATTACACTTTCGAATGCGATCTCTTTTGTTCTTCACCATTCAACTATATCAGTTTCGTGCGTTCAAAGATGTGATGTTCACATACGCTTCTTCGATACTCTCCGTGTAATGTGGTACTTGGATTTCACGACGAGATAAAATAATACACTGGCGTTCCCATTATTTAATCTTTTATGCAAAATTGTTTACGCGTGCCAAAATTTTGAAAGGAACCCGTGTGTAATATGACTGACGAAGTAAAAAAAAATCGTTGGCACGTTGGAGCAATAAATTACTGGTTAGTGATGTGATTCACAAAACGAGCTGAGCACATTAAGAATACGCATTGACCATACCATGTGAGTTTTCAGTAGACCACGAGTAGGCCGGCCACGTCTCCTCGCGCGACTTATTCGAATTACTTGGTAAACGATAATTAAACTTGTTCAGCAGCTATCTCCCTCCTTGGAAATGACAGCAGTGACGTGATCGCGCGGTGTCTGGTCCCGAGGAACACGAAGACGACCTGTTCAACTTGTACAAAAGCAAGACCTCCGATGCAAATGATGATGCTAACATGCAATCTGATGTTTCGATGCTAAGCATCGCCTACCACTTTACATCTGTGTCACATGACATCACACAGAGATATGATGGTTTTGATTGTCGTTCACCTTACCAGACCCATCCTTCGGCTGGTCTCTCGTAAATCGTCTCGCGTGCTTTCTGTTTGCTTTTAAAGCTACAAAAATTGAATATCGCTTAACAACAACAACAACAAGCAGTTGCGATTCTAGTCCATTCGAATTCCAGATGAACCCAGATGGATTCAAGAATCCATCAAAACAAGTTTTGTTTCGTTATCTTTATGTCCGTTGTATCCTCGATTTACGCGAGTCGCAGCCATTCCGTAAACTCCTAAAAATGTTGCGATATCAACGCTATCACATCTCATACCCATCTGTGTGCGTCGAAAATGGTGAGATTCCCATCACTCCTATATCCTTTTAGTATACTACTAATATTTTCTAGCTCTGATCGACTTCTTCTGTACTGTACGTGTCACCGCTGTGCGGCCAATGCCAGAATCTATGCTGTCAGAATCTTCTGAATCCGAATTGCAAACGTTGCTGACTTGCTCTTTCTAATCTCTTTATCTCTATTTCGCTCTGTCGAAATTTAACATTGAATGATCTCGGCAGGTGTTGCGGAATACGCGTCACCAGGCAGTGTACAACGTTTAGCAATTATTGATCCGATTCATTGCTAGATTACCAGAAATTTGTTGCTCTTGTCTACCAACGATTCAAAATTTCTACGCCGGAAGCTTCAGGCAACTTAGTTTACATAGTAGGATGTATGCTGGAGGAATATTCGCGAGTTAACAAGCTACTTTATTGCCAAATAATTTTTGAAACAATAGCAATTGTCTGTTGCGACGGAGAGTGTAAAGAACAAAAGTCTTTCGAATTAGAAAACTGAATTATTCTCTCTTATTTACCTGATCTTAATCATAGAACGTGAATAATATTGAAGCAAGCACGAAAAATGGATGAGCTAAAATTGTATTGAAAGAAACATATTGGTGTTGTTCAAAGTGTTAGGGTCTTTTCGATGAAGCATTAAGTAGACTGTTTTTCCAGGGGTACTTAGTGGACTACTACGTGTACAGCTCAAAGTGTTTCCCAGGAGAACCACCCAATCACATTGGTTTCAGCTACATCTTGCCGTGTGCTTTACAACCTAGCGTTGGACTTCTGACGGTACCTATTACTAGTACAAAACACAGACCTATTGGTAAGTCAAAAAATTTTACATTCAGCATAGTAACGATAGATGTTCAATCTTGTAGTAATGATGTTTTGTCACGCACACATTGCACGAATAAATTCTTGAACATGTATTCATACATTCAAGTTTTGTTCTATTCAAACTACGAGATAACAATACTAATTGATTATATAAAAATTTACCAAAAGGCTAAATACCAACTAGAAAGTCAATCAATTCACATTTATATTTTATAATAACAATCTCACTGTGTGTTGCTTTCTCTACAATAAATTTTTTATATTATAGGCCAATTGACGGTGGAATACGTTGTCATAAAACCAATACCGGATCATCCGTGGGACATGAGCATCTCATACGCGAAACATTGGGAGCAGCGTTGGTCAGGCTTAGATGTAGGACATAGAGGGTTGGGTACATCCTTCAAATTCGAAACTAAGAAGTAAGTTGATTTATATCTAAACACTATTTATTCGACATACTTGTATGGATTCAAAACAAATTTTCCAACACGTTTCTATATTTATCATTTTGTAACAAATATCCTTAATGAGATATACTATATTTTAATTTGGAAATACAATCTTTACAGCTGTGCTAATGTGCGCGAGAACACGGTTGCATCTTTGAAGACCGCAGCATATCACGGTGCAGACATGGTAGAGTTCGATGTTCAGCTGTCGAAGGATCTTATACCTGTAATCTACCACGACTTTTATGTATCCATCTCGATGAAGCGCAAGAAGCAGATAGAAGCCATGGATATGCTGGAGATACCCGTTAAGGATCTTACCTTAGAGCAGCTTCATCTACTCAAGGTATTTTTAATTAAACATGATAATCCCTTTAGGCTGCCAGTAATAAATAACAATGGATCAGTTTAGTCGACCTTAACTGTCACTTGTTTAATAAATTAAAAATAAAAACTATAACGAGCGACGTTTCGACCACGGGTTTGGGTCCTTATCAAGTACAAATTCTTAAAAATTAATCGAGTCATTGCAATATGTAATTGAACGGTACAAAATTATAACAAAGTTGAGTCATGATTATAAAATTAACGGCACAACCTAAAATATGTACAATGTCTAACATGGCCGGAGAGTGACTGTTTTTATTTTTAATTTATTAAACAAGTGCCAGTTAAGGTCGACTAAACTGATCCATTATTATTAATTAATTGTGATGACTTCTGATATTTCTTATGTCATGCATTTTCATTTCTTGCATTTTTGAACAAATTTTTATACACTTATTTTTTACACTTGTATTGTAATGATGTATATCAATTTTGTTGATAATTAGTATGATTCAAATTTATCAATATATCAATTTGGCAGTTCATAGTCTTGAATGAATATGTATGTTCTATTATAATATGTTTTATACTTTTGGTAACACAAACTAATATTCATATAAAATAATTGTGTGTTAAACTATATTTAAAAATTAATATTATGTGCTCTTAGAACGTATGATTAATTAAGCCGTTGGAAGAACATATTGAAAATTGTACTTGTTTCTCATTGTTTAAAAGACGAATGGTACAAGGCAACAAATTTGATTTTCAAAAAGAATACTGAACAGAAGATATGTTCTACGTTTTTATATATGTATGTGTGTGTGTGTGTGTGTATTTTGACATACATATGTATATACAACCATGCGATTATTGGATCTTTGATATTCTAAGTAAAAAAATTATATTTTTCATTAATTACCGTTCTTCCGCTAGCTTAATTAACAAATGCATCCATTATAGTTGATAACACTAGTCTAGTTGAATGACGATGGGAAACACTCACTCGGGAATGCTTCGTGTATCGGTGTTTTGCTTTTTACGTCTCTTATCTTAATAAAGGAAAAGTAGATTACTGCGCAGGAGTATGTCGTACGTAAACGTCCATCAGTTCACACACCAACATTAAAAAATGACATGCTCTTCCGTATTTGTCTATTTTTTAATATTTAACAGGATTGTTGTTACCCGAGGGACTCGTTGGGTAAGGTGCTCTATTACGTTGATCGCTTGCGCCGGCTAACTCGTCGCTCAAAACGTACAACTAATAAACTCATTTGACTTCCATGCTTTTTTAAAAGCTACCAAGCGATTGAAACCATTAATATCTCAAATATTGCTATTATGAGAAATAATATTCTTCCTTAATATGCAATATTGCGCTTTTCTTACAAGCTAAAATTGAATGTTTATCTATAAATTTATCTCTCTCTCTCGCTTGCTCTCTCTTTTCCCAAGCGTGAGTTTTGATAATAAAACTTGCCAGTAGATTACAACTAACAATAAAAGCAATTCTCATTTGTAAGATTTATATGATTTTTGATAGCGAAACTCCGATAAATGAATTAAAATTGACTACTATGATTAATTTGATTTTCAAATCTTTGTTCTCAAAACAAAATATATTTAATGAACATTTAATCTAATAGCTTGTAGCAAGTCATAAGATTGGTTTAATGTAAAATCATTATGCAAACGCAAAATACGGCTTAAGTAACATTCATAAAGTTGCTTCTAATATCTCCAGGCATTCTGTATATTTTTAATAAAATTGTCAATCACCAGTTTCACCCCCAACGACTACATAGAAATGCTCACACTCTGAAAGGTCAAAGTGTGAGGATAGAATTTCAACACTGAGTTGATAGGAGAGATTAATGGGAAAATTTTATTAAAATATATTTTTTCAAAAGTTATATCAAAGCGAAAGGATGCAGTAAATATTTTCCTAATTTTTTCCTGCAGCTCAGTTCTCCAAAATATTTCCGACACATCTTGTACAATTTCGATCACAGCATGCGACTACGATATCACGAACGACACGAAATTACAAGGTGTATTCGCATAAAGCCAGTACGATTGTTTGTCTCGCTTTGAACATTCATTACGTTAATGGCAATATGATCTTCTACACTTTGTCAACTTTAATTAAGCGAACATCCTACATGTACATATGTTTCATTGCCAAGATTTTTTTCTTTCAGGTTTATCATGTAGCTGAAGCCCGTGAGAAGAATCCAAGATTTTTTGACGAGGATTTGGAAGATCATCAGCCCTTCCCTACGCTACAAACTGTGCTGCAAGAACTCGAGCAACACGTTGGGTGCAATATCGAAATTAAGTGGACCATGCAATTGAAGGTGAGAATATTTTTAATAATAATATCATGCAGCACTTTTCTTTCGAACAGTTGATAATGAATTAAATTGATTTTTCTACCATCAGGACGGCACGTTCGAACTCAATCATCCCTTCGATCTCAACATCTATCTAGATATTATTGTAAAAGTGGTATTAGAATACGGGGGTGATCGAAAAGTCGTGTTTTCTTCGTTCAATCCGGATATCTGCGCAATGATCCGTCTCAAACAAAACAAGTATCCAGTGGTGTTTTTAACACAAGGCATTACATCCAAGTATCCCACTTATCACGATCCGAGATGCCAAACGATACCGATGGCCATGAGACACGCATTAGCCGCGGATATCCTAGGAATTAACGTCCATACCGAAGATATTCTTCGGGATCCGTCTCAAGTCAAGTTAGTCAAGGATGCGGGATTAATTATCTTTTGTTGGGGTGACGACAACAATGATAAAGATACTATACAATATCTGAAGAAACTCGGTTTGCACGCGGTCATATACGATAAGTAAGTAACGCATAGCGAACACAAATCCAATTTAAAAGTTACTGATTTAATCGAAATGGAAATATTGAGATAATAATCGTCTCGTAAGATCTTCGCGTGTATATTTTACGTTTTCAATTATTGTTTCTAGAATCGATGAATATAACGCGAAAGAAGTGAAGGAGAGTATATTCTTAGTAGATGCTAGAGAAAGCCAGAAAGAGCTGATAGCCTTGGCGCATTGCAGCCAAACACCACAGACACAAATCTCTACTCCCCTCAACACAGAAAAGGTAATTATTAAACAGATCCTCAGTGAGTTTACAAATAATTGGAAAATTTAAACATTTACAAATATCATGTATCTTTGACTAGTTATCTTTTTATACATTTTTTAATTTTATAGTAAGATTTATGAAATTTAAGACTAGTATCTCCGAAAAATGATATTTTTGCCTTTTATTACGACTGAATATTTTTATTGAAAAATGAATGTGCAAAAAATTTGCACTCAGTGTACGAAGCATGAAATGTAGATTTGAATAATGTTGATTTAGGATTATTATTTGAGCCGACCATCAACAACCACGTCGTGTTTGAAGAACAATATGGGCGGTGATAATATATACTCCGTACCAAATATCAAGTTACCGACCAACTGCGAGGAGAGCATAGAAATTAAGGAGATAACCAAGGATTTCAGTGCCTGCGCGAACACTTTCGGCCATTCGGTAAAAAACGGCATCTCCGGTGTGACGTGTGGACAGCCATCTCCTCTACCTGAGTTTTATGGGGAAGACGAGGCTGCAAAGGATTGCCTTTGATGCTTCTCCTTCAAAAAACCCCTTTTCTCATGGTTTTGATGCGGAGGTATCACTAAGAGGACTTTTACGCCATGCGACGACGGGAAGATAACTTTTGATAATTTATGATACGATAGTGATAGGCCGAAATATTACCGAGGATTCGTCTGTACTTCAGTAGTCTGTGACGAACTTGTACAGATCGTCATACAGATTACATATAAATAATCCGGAATCGAAACGATCAATGTTGTTCTGAAATTTGCCAAAGGATCTATTATTTGCAATCAACATTCAGCTTTAAGTATAACTATGATATACAGCCTATTGAGTTGAAAAGAAATCAAACTAGCTATGTCTAACGATAATAGTAAACCCATAGAGAGTTCAATAAATCCTACTGGCAAATCATAAAATAATATTGATTGTTGCTTTAAGGTATCGCGCGTGATACGACATGAAGCTATTGTGATGTGGAAAGAAAATTCGATTTACTCTTCTCATATTTTTTTAATCGGTCCATTTTTTTCGCGCATTATGCAACGTGTGTCGGAAAAAGTATGTAGCCGGATACTCGTAACAAGAATTTTGGAATTGATTCCTTTTTTAATGGGAATAATTTGGAGATTCCAAATATATTCAATTAATATCCAATTAATGTGGTAGGTAATTCTGATCATATATTTGCACTTTCCAAATTTTATTCATCGATATCTGTGAATTTTAATCGAGATGATAATGTTAAATTTCGAAATGAATCCAATCTCCGAAAAGAGTATAGACAAGTAAAGATGTAAATGTCTGTTCTATATGTTTGAACATTGAAATCTAAGAATTTAGGCACGCAGAGGTCTACGAATCCATAGATTCAGTTATTCGTTGATCTAACGATTCAGCGATCCAAATGCCTAAAAACGTAGAAACGTAGGAATCTGAGAGTATAGTTTTACTTATATAGATAGTTTGTTATTTAATTGCTAGATTACGTATTTCCTGTAATAAGAAATTGAAAGCAAATTGTTCAATCCATTAACTACCGGCATACAACTGTTTCCACGCACTCCACGTGCACCGTAGTAACTTTTAACGATGACTTTCTCAGTGTGCTAATGAATCCTGCGCAGGATGTAGAAAAATGATTTAAACTCCCGCGAGTCCGCTCGCGGTGCGTCGATACGGGAGTTGTGTTTTTAGTACAAATGTCGTCAGGTATATATCTTTATTTATAATCAGAAAGAAAACACTCTATTCTCCCGTATCTCTTCCGCTGTCGATTCGGATGTTACAATACGTGAACGAGAAGAGAAAAGACAGAAAAAAAAGTGAGCGAAGAAGACGAAGAAGAACGAGTTGCTCGTTACTCGTAGAGCAAACTAAATGCCATTAGTTGATACGATTTTTTACGAGCTGTCGAACGAAAAATCGCGCCGAATGCGAGAGCGGACGATCGCGCCGCACCTCGAATTGCCTTCTCGACAGCTGTACCTCAAGTTTTAATAAGACCGTAACGTAAACTATTTTTCATAGTCATTTAGGAAGTACTTCATATTCATTTATTTATGTCATCCGATGCCAGGTGACAATTCGCATTCGACCATTCGACCTGAGCGCGAGCGTATGAAGGAAAATAAAGAAAAATCATGAAAGAGGAGAACGCACGCATCTCGTTCTTTTTTCCCCATTTTCTGTTTCGTCACACTTTTAACACTAGCAAGTTAGTGCGTAGTTTCTCGTTCTGAATAGTCTTACGATAACTTTACGAATAATTTACAGTCTCTTTGTGTACAAGTAGACGGACGCCCGGTGTTTAGAGACCGACTGGTTCGCCCGGGAGATTCAACGTCAAGAGTATTTTTCGGCGAGAAAAGCTCCAGGACGTGCAGCCGGTCTCTCGCCGATTTTTAGCGCACCAAGTGCGATCGGAGGGCGTCGAACGTGAGAAGCACCAATCGCTTTCTAGCAAAAAACAGTCTCCCGACACATATTCTTTCAAGGGAAGAATAACGTTAACCCTTCATCCGATAGCGTTGTCCATCCATAGCTTAATGGCACGACGAGCCATGTTCGTCGCACCGTCCGCTTCGACTTTTGATATTACGAAACCACTCGCTTTTTTTTTTTCATTGACGACAAGCGATACACTTTTATGTCAATGAGGAGCCAACGCTTTGCGCTCGGAACGCACGATGCTCTTGTCATAACGGAACATTAGGTCGGGACTTGTTTGAAAATTGAGAAACACTTGTCGTATCAAGACTATTGAAGGGAAATTCTCAACTTTTATAGATTCTTCTGAAACGTTGTGGTGTGTAGAAGCAATCGGAGGTGAAGCGAAGGGTGAAGGCAAATTCCCAACTTTTATAGATCCTTCTGGCATAACTTGGTCTTCGTTAATGTTTTTCTTTTCTTAATCTGAAGATTCGCCATAGAGTTCCTCGCTCAAAGAAAAAAAATAATGACGTGTCTTTTTAAAATTCCACAGCCACGTGTCGGTATTCTTGATAGTGAGTCTCAGACAATTTACAAGAGTCGTAAACTCCGATTTGAACTGGAGATGTTGTACATTAATACCACTGGATCTCTGTTGAATATACCACCTTATACAAAGCTTATATATCTAAATTTGTATTTGGCCCAAACGTCACACCAAACGTTTCACCATCTCGACTTTCAGATTGGTTTATCAATGGGGAAATAGAAACGAATGAAATTACAAGATTATCCGGTAAATTATTGGCTAGTGAAATTGAATTGTCACTCGTGATTAAAGGAAATAAATAAACTGAGGGACCTAGATAAGACAATTACAGGCAGCTTTTGCGCCAACTGATCTCGCAAATAATAGATGGAGTACGGGTCTTTGGGGTACCTACACATATAATAGAAATACTAATGACTACTAATATTATTATAAGCATAGTAATACTATATTAGCATTGTCTCATAGTCGGGGTACTGTTATAATAATTTAATAACAATCTATTGTTAAAGATTATATACGCTACGATAACGTAATACTATTATATTATTATAATGGTAGTATCGAGACGAGATGCAGACCGAAACGGGCTTGACGCTTCGCAGCGCAAAGGGTTGACCTATCGGCTGAAGGGTTGAAGGGAAACGGACGTGCAGCGGCACGCCGAGCGTCTTTGTAAAATTTTTCACTGCGAGGGTAACGTGCGTACCGCATTGCGGTAACAAAAATAAGGCTGTAACTGAACGATTGTATCAATCGTCGCGTACAATCGTACTTTGGCAATGTACAGTACATTTGTTGACAGGATACTAAGCGAATACGCTCTTCGTGCGTTACTGCGAGTCACGCCGCTGCACCATGCGGGGGGTGATATCACAATACTTGTTCTCTTTCTTTTCTTTCGCCTTGCTGCGGAGGCCGAGCCGTTTAAATTCTTTGCGCCCAACGCAAGTAGTGACTATAAATCGCGGATTTCCTCTCGCCGAGCAAACTTCAAAGTAACGCAATTAGAAAAATTAGGAAGGCTGACAATGCGAAACGCTAATTAAATCGGGAGACCACTTTGGACTTTCTTATCGACGATAATTATTTTTTATAGAACCGGCGAGTACTGTATCAATAATTAACGTTAATAAGCGTAAATGGTAAAGAGATAGGCTTCAGGAGGGACTCGGAGCTTAAATGTCATAAGATTCGAGCATACGTTTCGAGATAACGGCATAAATCCGCGATTTTACATACGTTTATAATTAATATAAAGATCGCAGGATCGGTTTTAGAGAAAATTTAGGCGCGTTTATGACAGTCTCACCTAGCAGCACCGTGCATTGACCAAACATTGGTTAAACATTGGCTCAATATTTGGTTGTATTGGGCCAACGTTTAGCCAATGCACTGTGCTACTAGGGTCTTAGCGCCAGTTTAAACATGTTTATTGGAACTTGCCGTTCCAGCTTGGCTTTTTTCTGACTTATTGAATTTCTTATAAGTACAGATTCTATCTGATGGATTGCGGGAAGAACCTAAAGCCGAGTTAAATTGAAATACTCAGATGCAGCTTTTTCTTATTTTCCATCTATTGCATATTATTATTAACATGTCAGTATGTTATATGTATATTAGAAACGAACGATTTGCCCCCTCCCCCCCCCCCGTTTAAGTTCTGAGCAACTCTGCGCGTCAGTTGGCGAACTTGACAAGTTTTGCGAACTCGATGTGCCTCGGTCTCCGATGCGCCTCGGAAACCGTTTTAACCGATAAGTTCCAAGTACAGTTAAGCTTTCTAATAATTGTCTTTCCACACTTCTGTTTATATTGTACGACACAACGATCGAGAAGGATTGAAGTAATTTATTCTTGCCGAGATAATAAAACATTTGCATTGCCAGAACGCCTGCCTTTGTAGATTGTAAATCATTTTTATCTCAAACTGTCGCCCTGCAATCAGCTGAAAGCACTCGGCACCGCTGCAACCATTTCCGAAAAGAGGGTGTTCTTTGCCTCCACTAAAAGCCCTCGGCGGTCGGCACCGCGCTCATGTAAATACAGGATAAGATAGCATGTAGGTCGAGTTACTCCATAAACAGATTAAAATCGTCGTGCGGTTTTGGTGATTATGGAGGCACGCTGTGGCACGTGCAGTGGCTTCACACCGGTACACTCGTGGTCAAAAAGGTTCTCTGACGTTTTATGGATAAATTTCGAAAATGCGGTCATGCGAGAGATTATGGCTTTTGCTCACGGATATGTGCAGCAACGCATTATTAGAGCAAAGGAATAATATGTACGAATATCCCCTTGCAATGTCGAAGCAGACGAATATATACAAGTAGAATGCGAGTTGAAATCAAATCCAGAATCTCGATCGTTCTCACGTACCGCCTCAATTTTTCGCGATTATCACCGTTGAAAGGCCGTTGAATAAAAACACAATCGCAGAGGATATCTTTATCGTGTCTTTGTTATCTGAAATTATCAAAGTGGCATTGCGCGCCTTTTGTGTTTTAAAGCATATGTACGTTATCGGTTAATCTGTATCTCACGCGCAAATATACCTTCGGACACTTTTTATCTCTATATTTTGAATATATGAAAGAGACCATTGGGTATTTTTTGCACACACACACGGTGTCGAAACAGTGCAGGCCATGTATACAAAGCAAAATTATTATACACGTCGCCAGCGGCTTTTATAAATCCGTTTTATATTGCATTATTTCATTATATTGTTTTATACATGCAATTTTTTTATATCAATGGCCGCATTCCGTGGAAAAAACCCATACAGCACACAGATGTTGAAAATCAACATCTCAGAAACGATTCCATTACAACATTGCAATATTGTATCAATGTTACGAAATGTAGATTCAACGTTGAAAAGAAATTGCAATAACGTCTGATGTCCGCTGAATTGTTATGTCTTGTAAACGTTACAATATTCAACATTCAGAAAACATTGTTAAATTGTCCCAGGTAGCGCAAGACACTCCTATGAACATTTTAAGAATATTCTTGAAGAATATTTGGAATATTCCACAGGTCATTCATATATATTTATCTTATGTTCGAGAGAGAACATTCGACTGGCACTACTATCAATCTTTTTCGAATGTGAATAGAATAATCTATCGAATATAGCGTGTCGTTATACATATATGGCATGATCACAGGTTTCCACTGCCTTTTGCATAAGATTAATATATTACACAACAAACAATATGCACTACATAAACTCGACGAATATTCTAAAAACGTTCTTCTTTGTTTATTCTGAAATATTCTGAAATTAAGAATATTTGCACTGCAGAAGAATATTCATAGAACTATGTGTGCTAACTTTTTAAGTATCTATTTGAGTGTCAAAAAGTAATAATTTGTTCAAGATTGTTTCAACGTTGCAGCCAATATAAAGAATTAATGTACAAACATCAACCTAGATTCGATCGTAGAAAAGATATTTATACTTCAACATTCAACGTTGCAACGTTTCGGCAACGTAATTATTTTAACTTTCTCTGCTGCATGGGAAAGGTAGCTTTTGCGACTGTTGTGAAAATCTTGGATCCGATTGGCGTACGCTTTTAATTAAGGCGGAGTCTCATGCTCCAACGAAGTTTACAAATTTTACAACCGTCGCAGAGCAGCCGTTTAATCGCGCCGATATCCTAATTTCGTGTCAGAATACAAGCGTTCATAACGTTCATAATGGCCGCCGCGGCCCGCGCCGCGACGGTGCTTCCCCCACTCCGGGCGCGGCCGTAAAAAGCAATGCTCGTAGCGGGGGGGCAGTCGAAGCGTCAGCGAGACGGAGCGAGGCGGAGCACCGTGCCGACTGGCGCGTTTCACGGCGTTTTACGTCGCGTCACGTCACGTCACGTCGCACGTCTCTCGCCCGTGACGAGATTCGAGACCGTCGCCACGACGCGACGACAGCTACGGCGTTTCGCGCGGTACCGTCGGCGGACCTGCAGCTATCCGGGCTAGACGATGTTTTGATACGCTCCCTCCATCTATCTTCCTCTCTCTCTCTCTCTTTCTCCCCCCTTCTCTTTCTCTCTCTCTCTCTCTCTCCTTGTCGCCCCTGCCGGAGGATGCTCGGCGTCTGCGACTCCGTCCCGTCGACGAAGATGTGAGCCGTTTCCAGGAACATTCCGCAATCGGATCCCGCGACTCGCGAGTTCCTTCGGAGCGTATTATTGCGCTGTCATCGTCATCGTCGTCGTCGTCGCCGCCTCGTAATAGGTGCGGAAAGTTCACGTGCGCGCGCGCGCGCGCGTGCGTGCATGCATGCGTGCGTGTGTGTCATTTGCTTATTTGTGCTTATTTGCAAATTGATCAGGAGCCGAGAGAGCCTTGCGTTCTCGCGCGATGCCCGGCCCGATCGCCACGGGGGGATTGTCCTTCGACGAGTCGCGCGACACGCGTACGTTTCGCACGCTCGCTCGTGGCGTTTCGCCGAGAGCCGCCGAGAGATCGTGTCGACCGTCGAGGTGTCCCTACGGCTGGTTCGGACCGTCCGCAGCTGGCGAAGCGACCGCCCCTCTGGCTGATCCTGGCTGATCCTGGCCCCGCCGCGTGTCACGGGATCGCGTCGGCGATAAGACTCCGTTGCGTATGCATCGCTTTTCTTTTCTCTTTCTGCAAAATATGCCACCGCCTGCGGTGACATCGTCTCGTTTACGCTCCCGCGGTGTCGAGAGCCCGGACGGTTCAACGTGCGTTTTCGCGCCCGTAAATTCTCGAGTAGATTATCGCCGCGCCGATACGTTTCCCCTCCCACCTCCCCCTCCCCCCCAAGGACGACACCTTGGCTCCTGACGGCTCTTGACACGTGGAGCAAACTTTGCACTACGCTCGTTGACGCACTTTCCCGGCACAACGTCACCGTTTGTCGGCCCGCGAGCCACACTCCGAGGACACCGAGGGCATTGCAAAACTGCCCGATCCCGTTAAACCGCCGCGCGCTAATCCCCGTAACGCGACGACTCGGCGCTCGCAGCTGTGCAAATTTGTTGCTGGTCGGACGAGGGCGTACCTTATCTAGCGTTGAAAACCCAACGGGCACGTGCAGATAAAGTAATCGGGCTGTATGTACATCCCCGTTCTCTCTTTTTTTTTGCTCTAGATATGACTCTCCCCGTGCGCACCGCGTCGCGTAATTGCTCAGCAAGGTGCTATCCGATGTCTACGAATGACGACACCTGTGTGCTGTTGAACGACACCGAGGTGAACACGCTGTGATGGGGTGGACGACATCCACCACGGCATGGATGGTCATATGGAGCTGCCTGCTGCCGGGCCTCTGTCCAGCTCCGCAGGCATCTCCGAAGCAGGTGCCGTGCGATAAGACGAGGAAGGTCTTCACGGACTCATGGGGGATAATCAGCGACGGGCCTATGGGCTCCAATTACACTCAAGACTCTCACTGCGAGTGGCTCATCAAAGGTACGCGGATTAAACGCGCTCGCCGATTTTCAGCGGGTCCGAGCACAGCCGATAATTCGTATCCCCCTTTGTGTCTGTCGCGCAGCTAACCACAGCCGCCAGTTTATCACGTTAAGTTTCCGAACGATGGGCACAGAATGCAGCTACGACTACGTGTTCGTTTACGACGGGGATTCCTTTCGCTCGCCGCTTCTGGGCAGCTTTAGCGGCAAGACGGAGCCGCAGCAAGTGACATCATCGTCCGGTTATGTAAGTAAACATATCCCACGGTAATAACGTGGATAATGGACTGCTGGCTTACAAGATTTTACAGCGGCGTTACAATCGGTGGCGCCGATCGAGCGCGACGAACTTATTTCAATTTTTCACAATGAAAGATTACGGTGGGCTCGAGTTGCACATATAAAAGTGTATATCGAAACACCATACAACTGAAATACAGGCTACTAAAATTACGTAACGGCGGCGAACAGAAATGACACGCTATAAAATTTTGTTACGCTACGCAAGGTATAACGTTGGTATTTATTTTTGCAGATGTTAATATTATTGTATAGCGACACAAATTACGTACTAGACGGTTTCCACGCGGAATTTTCAGTCACGGATTGCCCGAACAACTGTACTCATCACGGAAAGTGTATTAACAATACCTGCGTCTGCGAAGACGACTGGGGTGGTAAAGACTGTTCCCGAGCTCTCTGCCCAAACAATTGCAATCACGCCGGTGTTTGCGAGATTACGGGAAAAAGATGCAAATGCAACAGCGGATACTCTGGGCAATCTTGTTCGTTACATAAAGCGCATCCGGAAGGAAATCGGTATGTTGGACCGTTGAATTATACACATCTTTACATTGTTATTTAACAATAAAGTAAAATTACTTAATATTTTGTGGCAAAGTTTGCGCATCCACGTTTAAGCAGCTGATCGACCATGACTGGCGATGTGTTTTTTTAACACAGAAAATTTCTTGCGAAAAATATTACCTCAGCCAGGCTTTGAACCTGGACCTCCGAAGTTTGCGTATATTAACATGTAACAATGACTGGGACGTGTATTATTAATCTCTGTGATGATCTAATTATTTGTGTAGGTGGCATTGGCTTTCGCATTCGGAAAGTGGACTTAGACCACGCGCAGCTCATACAGCGATTTACGTTCAGGAAACGGATTCACTTTATGTCTTCGGCGGCTACGATCTCAATTATATACTCAGTAATTTAGAGGTGTACAGATTTAGCACAAGTCAGTGGGAAGACGAATACGGAAATGTATTAGGTAAGTACAAAAAATAGATGTGCAATTTCTTTACTATTTCTTTATGACTCTTACATTTTAATTGTTTATGCCATCTTTCGTATACAATAAATAGTTTATTACAATGCGAGAATATAATCAAATTCTTTCTATTTAAAATGTTATAATGTACATAAAAAAAAGAATAACTTCTCACTATTGTTTTACATTCGCAGAAGGCGCTGCATCTGCCGATTATCTCGATCTCAGGTTCATCGCTTCCGAATTACAACGGAATCCCGATGGCAAAGAGATATACGGCCTATCGACGACATCTTTAATTTGGAAGGTGCTCTATAGCATCAAAGGTAACAATACATTCGGCCTGCTCGATCGGACTTCTGACGGCGGTCAGCACAGCTCGCGAGAGTTCAGGAATATGCCTAAGGATAAGGAAAACGAGAAAAGCAGGAGTACCATAAGGATCGATAGGAACGACGATCCCAGAAGAAAGCATCCGCGAAATATAAGACCGCATTATTCGCAAATGTCGACAAGGTAGTAAGTGACAGATTGCACTCGTTAATTCAACTCGAAAACTCGTTTCTATTGTAGTATCTTGGAAACTCAGAACAATACATTGTTAACTTTGTATTATTCATGTAAAGATATAAAAATGGGGAAGCTCTATGTACATTTAAAATACTCTCTTACGAATTGCGCGCTTTTGATTGGAGATCTTATCATAAGGACTCGTCGAAACTCTAGTTAAAGTAATCTTTGGGATAACTTTATACGAAGCTTTATATGTCCATAATTTTCACGAAAGAGTAAACATTTATTTCTTGTTATTTGTACAGTTGGAATTAAACTGTTTTCTTTTTACATGTCTGTTCCTCCAAGATATCGCAGAAACTTGGAAAACTTATACAGAGAACATGATGCGACGGATGTGCAAAACGATGACGTGAAATGGGAAGAGCAAATCGTGGCGGGATCCGCGGAAGAAAATATATTCATGCCAGAGCTTACGGATCCGAAATTAACTACGAGTGATTCACTGAAAGAGGACGTTACAGAGCCAACTGTTGACGAATTACCCAAACCGAGTCCTCGATATGGTCACGCTGCGTGTAAATACCAAGGTCTGTCTCGTATAGCGTTTACTAATCTGTGCCCATAAAAACACGGCAAAAAGTTTTATAGTGCAGAAATAAAGGAACTTGCAGCTAGTTTCGTACGCGAATTAACATATACAAATTTATTATATTTTGTGGCGCTAATTAATATAAAGTGGAACGAATAGTACGTAGGACCTTGTTTCGAGATACAGCATTATTTTACCTTTATCTGTTTGCGCTGGTAATGAAACTGGATTGGCATAATAACGAACTAGAAGTGGGAATGTTTTTCGAAAATATTTTTAACGAGAGAGAAGAAGAGAAAAATCTTTTAGTTGTAAATATTTATTACAAATAGAAACAAAAAATGGAAAAGATGATAAGAAAGTACTGCGATTTACTATTATAGCATTGTAAGCAAGTTGTCGTGATGATTTATAACAGAACTCGGCGAGATGGGTCACTTCGCGGCCGATTTTCAGTTGACTCCGCCCGCCGCTATTCCCTTCACCCTCGCCGTCCCGCGCAAAGCCCACGAGCCGCTCGAGGCTCAGGAGCGTAAATGTGTTTTCAATAGCTTTCCTCGTCACCCTTGAGGTACTATTGCTAACGCGTTATTTTTTTCTAATGGTATCCCCAGTAGGCGGGCGGAGTCAACTGAAGATCGACCGCGAAGTGACCTACCTCGCCGAGCTCTGATTTATACTTTAGTAATAAAATTAACCATTGTCATTGGCAAAAGGAATAACGTCTTTGTATTTTCAGATGGTTTTGTGGTCTTTGGAGGAAAGGTACAAGACGGCTCTTTATCGAACGAGCTGTGGCATTACAGTGTGAATAAACGCATGTGGACTTTACGCGCTAAAAACTCCCCCTTCTACCCACCCAGGCTCACAAGACACACTCTAACTTTGGCAGGCGACTACATCTATCTGTTCGGAGGTAGTACCGTTGATGGAGAGTTCTCGTCCAGCCTCTATAAAATCAAGTTGCGTTTAGGTAAGATTTATCTTCATTTTATTAAAGTGAAAAAGAGAAATTTCAAAGAATGTTTAATATTTATACTTTCTACCTATGCAAAACATGTAGCTGGTATTGAAAAATATTAATGTAACCTATAATTATAGCGGATCCTACGGCGATTAATGAGAGGTGGATAGAAGTGCGACCACGTGGCGGCAAGGAACTTGATGTGCGCGTGGTGGCACATTCGACTGTATATCATCGTGCTACCAATTCTCTGCTGGTGTACGGTGGCGTGATCGCCAGCATTGCCCGTTTCAGTAAATTGTCGGATCGAATGTTCGTCTTTCAACTAGACAGAAAGGTCTGGTCCGAGATCCATTATCCGAGAGCGCACTTGCGAGACACATACGTGCCGAGAGAACGCGCGTTTCATACATGCAATATTATAGGTAGATAATTTTTTTTCTATAAATTATATATCTAAAGCTTTATGTAAAATATATTATAAATACATTTACGTTAGGAGCATAGAGAGGCAATAAGAGCCAAACGCTAAGTGTTAGGTGCGGAAATCATATTAGATTTAATTTTAAATACAGTTGAACAAGTCAAACGTTTCGGTCTATCAAAGCGTTTATATTTTTTTTAATTATTAATGTTGCGATACAAATATCTTATTGTTATACTTCAGATGTCATTGAGAAGGATCACTTTGGTTGACCGAAACGTTTGACTTGTTCAACTGTATTTAACATTAAATCTAATATGATTTCCGCACCTAAAACCCTAAAGCGTTTGGCTCTTATTGCCTTTCTATGTTCTTAACGTAAATGTATATCAACAGAGCCTTAATACACTCAGTCCAAAAAAAAAGCGGTACACCTAAAATTTGTCAAAAAATTACCAACTTCCGAATGATGATAACTACCGCTTTTTTTTAGACTGATTGTGAGTGTATTTACTAAGTAATATTATAAATAATATAAGTTGTTTTTTTTTTTATAAATTTGACGATAGATTTATGTTGTCTAGTGCATTTTGAAACTTAAAATACGCACGTTAATTATGAAAACTTGATTTATTATTACGATAGGAAATTATCTGGTGGTATTCGGCGGATATTCTCATAGGCATAACAAGGAGGAGATCTGTTACGATAACCAGATGTATCTTTATCATCTTGGTTGTCATGCTTGGGTGAGCCACGATGTGTTGGGCTTAAACGACAAGGGTAAAGCAAACTTAATTTATTTTACATAGAATTTACTTTGATTTAAGTGTACTTAAAATGTTTTCCATTTTTTTAGGTTCTCGTTATCCCAAGCAGCAAGGTGTATTCGCTCATGCGGCGGATGTACGTAACGGAAATACCTTGCTGCTCGTTGGTGGGTATCATGGCAACGTAAATGCAGATCTTCTCGCATACACTTTGCCGCCTATGTTAGCACCGGGAGACGAGGATTACGTCGAGCCAGAGCAAATTTGCTCGAGGCACAAGAGCCTAATGGAGTGCGCGGCCAACCCCGAATGTGGCTGGTGTTCCGCGGATGAGGTATTTTATTTATTAATCTTACCTGTTGTACATATTTAGAAGACAACTCTCGCTCTAATGAAATTTCTTGGCACGTTGCAGATATGCTACGGTCGGACGATAGGTAGCAACTGTACGACAAATTTGCAGACAACGCGCTGCCCGGGAGTCTGTCCTGCCTTAGGCGACTGTCACTCTTGCCTGATACACGGCCAGCCCGGTGGTGGTTGGGGCACGAATGTCCGCGGCAAGAAGTCTGTCTCGAATAAACTAAATTTGGGCACGTGCACGTGGTGTGTCCAGAATGCCCGGTGTCACCACAAGGACGACAATTACGGCGTGTGCGGCCTGCGGGACGACACGCCGCTCTCGCAGATACCGGGTTGGTGGGGCTCGAAAGGCACGGAAATAACCAAAGTCGAAGAGTGTCGAGAGATGGACAAGAGACCGGGTTTGACTTTTCTCAAGTACAAGCCGCCCGTGAACTTCAGCCAGCCCGATTCAGTCGCCATAGTGAACGCGACCACGGTCGATTTCAGTCCATTGCCACCCATACAAGGCGCGAAGACGGAATCTACGATAGGCGGCGAGATGATCGCCAGGCTAACCGGCTTCCTCAGACCGCCAAATTACTCTTGGGAAAGCGCGGCAGAGCAGCTGAAGATCTGCGTCAGTTATAACAGTGCGACGCTTCACGTGTCGCGAGATGACGATCCTGATAAGTTGGTGAGTTATCATTTGTCATACTTTCTAATTGTATTGGAAAGTCGGGATAAGAATTATTGAAGAGGAATGTAAATGGTGTGTTTAAACAAGAAGGCATTTCCTATAATTTTACTTCAGTTTATTGAAGAAAATTTGACATTTGGGAACTGAAGTATTCTCTTCGCATAAACCGATTGAACGACTTGAATGTTTTCAATATGTTTTACTATAATTAAACTGTCCATAATTTCTCATGTCTCTCAGGAGCTCGTCGCCAATCTAACCGCGGAGACATCGCAGTGCATACCGACAAAGTGGCCAGATAGTACAAGTCCGATGGAGCTGCAGGCGGGCCGTTACCTGTTGGACTTTGAATCGAAAAGAATGGTGACCGCGAGCTACGCTTATGCGAGTAAAATGGAAATTACACACAACAAGAAGACGGAGAATGGGAAAGTGTTCACATTCGAGTACCTAGAGCCGTATCAGAATGGCTCTTGCCACCAGTACGGCAATTGTCTGCACTGCCTGAGCGATTCCTCGTGCGGTTGGTGCGACATTACCAATCAGTGTCTGTCGCGCTCCACCAACGAGACGGAAAGCTGCGCGGTAGACATGGAGTGGGACGAGGAGGGCGGCGAGACGATACGCGAGTGGCACTACTTGACAATCACACCGTCGGCGTGCGCCAACTGCTCCAACTACATCTCCTGCGAGTCATGCGTGGGTACCAACTTGTGCGAATGGTGGACGGAGGAGGCAAAGTGCGCACGAATCAATCGACTACCGAACGCCGTGGTGAGTCTGGATCAGTGCCCGATCCCGTGCCGACAACGCTCCAATTGCACGCAGTGCCTGGACGAGCGCGGCAGATGCGTGTGGTGCGAAGCCACGCGAGAGTGCTTCTCGTTCTCCGTCTACACGTCGGAGTACCAGTTTGGCCTGTGTCGGGAATGGATGGACCAGGCGGGCCTGATGGGTGTCACGTCGCGCAGCGACTCGTCGCTCACCGGCAACGATCAGTGCAAGAGCTGCAGCCGGCACTCCAACTGCTCCAGCTGCCTGCACTCGCTCAGCTGCGGCTGGTGCTACAGCCTGGAGAACCCCATCACCGGCATGTGCGTGCAGGGCGACTTCAATCAGGCCCACGTCAACTGCAGCGCGATCATCAACGAATACCGGAACAGCAGTCTGAGGGCCGACGAGTCTGGCTGGGCGTACGCGCAGTGTCCGGATGTAGACGAGTGCGATCTTGGCTTGCACGACTGCCATCCCGATGCGCTTTGCACCAATACCCACGGCAGCTTCAGCTGCCAGTGCAAGCGCGGTTTTAACGGCGACGGCAAGGAGAACTGTACCAAGACCTGTTACGAGAGGTGCGTCAATGGTTATTGCAGCGAGGCGCCGGATTACAAGTGCGAGTGCAACCTGGGCTGGACCGGGCCGGACTGTCGGACCAACTGCGGCTGTTACAACCATTCCACGTGTCTACAGGTAGATAAAGATAAAGATCGCATGCCGAAAGTGAAAGCTCGTTGAAAATCCGCAAACTGTTGATTTTTTTTTATTTTGTTATTAATAATATCACTATCGATTGTCTCAATTCGATCTTTTCAGGGGCCAGGCATCTGCGACGAGTGTCAAGACTGGACGACCGGACGCTACTGCGAGGAATGTAAGGCGGGTAGTTACGGGAACGCGACCACGCCATTGGGCTGTCGCGAATGCAACTGCAACGGGCACGGCGACGTGGAGCTCGACGTTTGCGATCGGCAGACCGGTATGTGTTTCTGCCGCGACAACACCGAGGACGACAAGTGTCAGCGCTGCAAACGAGGCTACTACGGGGATCCGCGTAACGGCGGGATGTGCTACTACGGCTGCATGTCTCGGGGTATGCTGGGTGGGGAAGGAAATGGTAAGCAGGGTCTTGGCAGCCGACACTCGCAATCTTCGCTCTGGGACAATTACATGGGCGACTCGCCGACGAGAGAGTGCCTGTGGATCGTCAGTCCCGAGACAGATCTCTCTTTGGACGCGACCCCGGCGATTCAGAGCGTGATACAATTCACTATCCACGATGACATCAACGTAAGTTGCCAGGAGAACAGCGTGTACGTTTACGACGGCCTGCCCGAATTCGTCTCGTCTACCGGTGGCCACCAGAGCCAACTGTTGGGCGTGTACTGCACGGAGAGCACCAACTATCCAGTGACGGTCGAGGCCAAATCCGGCTTCCTGACAGTGCACTATAAGCAGCTGGACGAAGTGGAGGGTTTTAATGCGAGCTACGTGATAATGACGTGCAACAGCTGCCCGGAGAACCGCGAGTGCCGCAACGGCAACTGCCTCTGCAAATCCGGTTACGTCGGCATTAACTGCGACGTGGAGATCTGCCCGAATAACTGTACAGCTTCCGAGAAACGCGGCGCCTGCGACAAGGGCTATGGCCGTTGCGTTTGCGCGCCAGGCTACGGCGGGCGCGACTGCTCGATCCAGCTGAAAAACTACCAGCTGATATTTACGGAACTCTTCAATTCAGAATACTTGGCCGATCATCTGGACCACTTGAGGAAGACACTGCCGCGCTTCGGGCACAGCCTGGTGGCTGATCGACGCGGCAGCCTGTGGATGTTCGGCGGTTACTCGCTCAGCCACGGGCCTCTCAACGACATCAGGCTCTTCGACACGAAGAATAATACGTGGATGCCGGTGACGGTGGAATCTACGTCGGAGGCGTCCATGCCGCAGGGCCGCTACTTTCACGCCGCCGAAATTGTGCACAGCAGGCAACAGATCTACGTCTACGGTGGGCTGTCGATGAAGGACGAGGACGTGCAAGGACTGTCGAACAACACCCTCAGCGACTTTTGGAAATTCAGCTTGCAGAACCAGCGATGGAGCCAAATCGTGCAGGACGAGTCGAAGAAGGAGCCGCTACCTCTGGCTGGTCACACGTTGACCCTGCGCAGGGACGGAGAATCGGAGAGCCTGATTCTGATCGGTGGCTTTAGCCCCAAGTACGGATACCTGGACACGGTCTGGGAGTTCAATCTCGAGACCGAGACCTGGGACACAGTGATCACTGTGGGGAACGGACCCCTAGGTGTTTACGGTCATTCCACGGTATATAACAGCAAGTCCGATAGTTTCTACGTCTTCGGTGGCTACACCTATGCGGTAAATAGAACGTTTATCTCGAACAAATTGTACGCCTTGAATTACAAGACGCGAACGTGGTCTGTACTGCCGCCATTCGAGGACGACTTCACCGACGGCGGCGGTTTACCTCAAGCTAGATTCCTTCACTCGGCGGTTACGACGGACGAATACATGGTGATATTTGGCGGCCGGCAAAATCCTCACAACACCTCGGACTCGCTAATAGCGTACAAATACTCGTGCAATCTGTGGATACGCTTAATAACGAGAGACATGGAGACGATCGGCAGTCCGCCACCGCCGGCGTACGCCCACGCGATGACTCACGCCGATCCAGAGTCAAACGCCGTTTACGTTGTCGGTGGCTTCGACGGCGGTATCAAGAGCCACGTCACGCTGATCAGCATACCGGAGGATCTGTGCAATCTGTGGAAGGATAAGACCACGTGCAGGAAATACTTCGGTTGCTCGTTCTGCGCCGTCACCACTCTCAACGGCACCAACGCTTCCTTCTGCTTCTCGAACGAGGTATCGAGCAACCGGTGCGACGTCAACGTCACTCAGGTGCAACGGTCGAACGGAATATTCTGCAGTTCGGAATGGATGGCGAGCAGGAGGTGCCAGAACTTCAGGACCTGCACGGACTGTCTCGCGGAGTGGCCGTATTACATAGAGGACAAGCCGGTCTGCAAATGGTGCGAATACTGTCGCAAGTGCATCCCGGCGGACAGGGACTGCAAGGAGGAGCAGCAGGAGCTGAACAAATGCGGCGTGTCGATGTCCAACGTGGTTCAGTGCGCGGAACGGCAGTGTCCGGCGAGCGACTGCGAGAAGTGCAACAGTCTAGGCCCGCACTGCCTGTGGACGAGGCAGGTGCTGAAAACTTACGAGTTGGGGCTGACGCTGACGGGCCAGCCCGTCTACGACTGGAACTGCGTGGAGGACAACGTCTTCGAGCGGATTACGTCTTCCAGCATAAAGATGAGCAGCACGCAATGCGAGAAGAGGTGCTCCGAGCACAAAGACTGCACGAGCTGTCTGAGGGGTACCGGAGCCGAGGGTGGGTGGAGCGAGTGCAGGTGGTCGACGCAATTGAACGAGTGCATCTCCCCGTCGTACCAGCCGCTCTATTGCGCCGGCGGTGTTTGCGGTTTGGTGTTGCGTAGCGCGGACATGGACCACTGCCCGGAGCCGTGCTCGGTGTTCAAGCAGTGCAGCACCTGCCTCAAGCACTCGCATTGCGGCTGGTGTTCCTTGAACTCGGCTAATATAACCGGTCAGGGACTGTGCACGGAAGGCTCGCTCGAAGCGCCGGCGGATCATCCGGCTGGTGGTACTTGCTCGATGCTTTATCGGCAACACTTGCCGGAGGTCGAGGCGACGCCGATCACCACGACGACGTTACACCCGTATCACGTGGACTCTGCGGAGGCGCAGGACAACGTTACGATGTCGTTACTCAACGCGATCGCTCAACCAAAGCCGGACTTCTCGTGGCACTACGTCCGCTGCCCGCCGGAGAACGAATGCGAAAACGGCCACCACACGTGTTCGCCGAAGAGCGAGAAGTGTTTCGACCTGGAGGAAGGCTTCGAGTGCAAGTGCGGGGACGGATACAAGACCGAGAGCAGCTGGGGGAACGAGTTCGGTAAGAAGATCTGCGTGCCCATGTGCACGCAGGGCTGCGTAAGGGGCACGTGCGTCAAGCCGGACCTGTGCCGCTGTGACTTCGGCTACGTTGGCTCCAATTGCTCGATCCAGTGCCAGTGCAACGGGCACAGCGACTGCGCCGGGCCGGACAAGCTTGATAACTGCACGAAATGCCACAACAACACGATGGGGAAGCAGTGCGAGAAATGCATGCCTCTGTACGTCGGCAATCCCGCGGACAACGGTCAGTGCGTGCCGTGTCTCGAGTACTGCAACGGGCACACTCGGATTTGCGTCAACGACAACGTGACCGTGCCCGATCCGAACTCGTTGGACAAGATGTCGATAGAGAAGCTGAGCAAGCAACTGGGGGAAGGACCGATGGCGAAGGCCAAGTGCATCAATTGCGGCAACTACACGAGAGGCGACAAGTGCGGCGAATGCATGACCGGCTACTTTCGGGGCACGGAGGACCTGCGAGACGTGTGCCGGTCCTGCGAGTGTCACGGTCACGGCTTCACGTGCGACCCCGTGACCGGCGAGAAGTGCAATTGCGGCAACAACACCGAGAGCGACCCGTCCTGCATCAGCGGTCCCATCAAGGGCACCACCACGATCGGCACACCCTGCTGGATGGTGCAATGCAGCAAGTGCAGGGAGAATTACGCCGGTATTCCGACGATGGGTCATCAGTGCTACAAGACCGTCACGGTCGACAATAAAATGTGCTTCGACTCGAAATTAATAGGTGAGCGTACAGCCGTGCAAACGAGATACATCCAATGCACAAGAGATTTTCCTCATCTGCGCATCTCTTTAACAGTTCGCTCGTTTAATATGCTGTTCATTGAAATCCTTTTCTTCATTGAAATTCCTCATATGAAAATACTGATTTCATTTGACGATGTATGTTTATACTCACGCAATCGATACTTTAGTCAAGTAATTGTTCTTCTTAAATTGCAACGTTCTATTTTGTGTGGAGCATTTTACGGTTCGTATCCTTCTCCTTCTACTACAAGCTATTTGATATCCTGCCGTTTTCGCGCATCTAAAATGAGACCTTATACCATTTTCCTATTTCAGACGAGTGCAAGATGAAGCCTAAGCCCCTAAATCCTGGCCAAACCGTCTTTTATATGGTGCAACCGCGATTCATGAACGTGGACATCAGAGTGATGGTGGATGTCACCCAAGGTGCCTTGGATCTCTTCTTGAGTCCCCGGGATGATTCCTTCGTCGTCACCTTGAACTCGTCGACTGGATATCAAGAAGTACGATTTTATTATTTTTATATCTTTGCAAAATAAAAATGCTAGTTTATTTTTTCTCTATGTTAAATCCTAAAGCCATCGATAAACTTAAATCTCCGAAATCTTTCAACTCTTAAACGACCTATAAACTTGGATCACTTTGTCGATTATTTGCTACGTCAAACTTATTTCTCATTGCATGTAATAGATTTGCAATTCTTTTCAATTCAACAATGTGTCTGAAATACTCGTTTCGTGAGCAGGTCGAGCTGGATGGTAGATTCAGGTTGCGGCCTGATCAGCCCAACAACAAATTCCAAATTGTCGAGTATAATCCTCACTTTGGAGCTAACGGTACCACTACAGAGGAACCGCGTACCCGGTGGAATACTGGGATCGGCGGATCGCAGTATTTCGTGATGGAACGCTGGCTCGAAAATGATCTGGCCAGTTTTCTGACGATCGAGAGGCGAAACACCTTCCTGGTGATCCGTAATCTGACGAATCGACTGGTGCTGACGTTGCCGCAAGACAAACACGAACTCGGCCAGACCAAGTTTCACATTGCGCTACGAGCGATTGACCCGGTGAATCCAGAGTTGAATGGCCGCGCTGCCTACGGAATGATCTTCTTCCGTCAGGATCAGTTGCACATCGATCTGTTTGTGTTCTTCTCGTGCTTCTTCTCCTGCTTCTTCTTGTTCCTGGCGGCGTGCGTAGTCGCGTGGAAGGCAAAGCAGACGGCGGATTTACGCCGTGCCCGACGTCGTCATGTCGTGGAGATGCTGCACATGGCGAAGCGACCGTTTGCCTCCGCGACGATAATCTACGATCGGGATGGCGGCGAGTGTAGCCCGAGCTCGCCGCAACGTAAGGGCAGGCGAAGCTACCACAAGCACGTGAGCTTTCACATCGACGTGATGCCGGTGGCAGTCGAGCCTACCAGCGACTACTACGCGGCGGTGGGGACGGTGTTCATCAGGCTACCCGGCGGCCGCCAAACACCCGTCAAACTGGCCCTGGGCAGTTCGCTCATACACTTGACCAGAATCTTCCCGGTCAATAGCAGAATGCTTTTTAGACGTAGAAATAGTCTTTTGACCAACTGAACCCACGTTACAGTGGAATCTCGTCCTCGACGGCTTTCGAGTTCCACATCTCGGGCACCGATATTCCCCTTGAACTCTTCTCGAACATCGACAAGAGTCACCGACGTTTGAGCAATCTACTGAAGATTACAGCCGTAATAGAATTTGAATATATATAGGTTTAACTGGCAGCCACCCATTTTCAGACAGTTTTTAACAGCTTTTAACAAAAAATAATGGATAAGATTAACTCAGGATATAACGTGAATTTTAACGCATATTTTACTGTCAGAACATCTTGCTTATAATTTTTTCTTTTCCGTTAAAAAGCTATTCTTTTTTTTTATATTGATGGTCAATAAGAACAGTAATGATTGAATCTATAGAACGCAGACATATAAAATAAATATTAATCAACATTAATATTCCGCCGAATTTTACTACGAATATTGGATTCATGGATCCAGAGACCGCCGGAGAAAATTTACTGAATCATATTATGACTAAATGTAAACATGTAAAAATTCGTGCCATTAAAATTCTAGGATTCTCGTGCACAATTAGGATTCATATAAGAATATATAGTGTAATATACTGAGACTCACAAAAGCGTGTACTAGAAAAAATTCGAGTTCTAAAGAAACAATGTAAGCAATGACGAGTGGATCCAAGGCTCTTATATTGTAGATCTGTGAATCGAGTTCTGTAAAGGACGTAAGCAATGATGAACAGATCCAAGGATCTTTTATTAGATCTGTGAATCGAGAAATTGTTTTTTTAATTTTAACTAGAGATTTAATATTGTACAAGTAGTTGGGAGAGAGAGTCGATATTAAGATATTTAATCTAAATATAATATATATATTGTCGTATACCATTCCATGACGAGACTGTACGTTTGTATATACAACAATCTGTAATTATGTATTAATTCGTACTTTATACATTTTTGTAGAAACATTTTACGAGACGTAGCTACGCGTCATGGAACATTCGTGATCATTCTCGGAAGTAGGCGAAATCGATTTCTCGTGATTCGTATCGGTTGAACGAACAGTATTAGAATTGTTGATTAGAGATGGAGCTCAACGATGCGTGCGTTAAGAAGGTTCCTATGCCAAATTGATTAAGATGGATACATGTTGAGCGCCCTAATGTAATAATAATATATTATTTATCGTAAACGGGTGAAGGAAGAAGGCAGAAAGTTTTGTTTGGAAAAGAAATGTACATATACACATAAAGGTTGCAAATATGTGTTGCAAACTTTTATACTAACTGGCGTCGTTTGCGTACTGCGTTGAAAGACACTTGTGCTCGACAGGCGATTTTTTTATCACGGATTACGATTACGTATTATTCAAAACGTATACCTAGGTAATGTGAATGTCAACGATATTGGCATTGACGTGCTTAATAATTATCGTTACAAGCACAAAAATGGGAGAATGCAGGGATGGTGTTTTGTTTGAGATTCAAGAGTAAAAAATACAAAACGAACGAACGCCGATGAGTATCAGAAAATTTCTATGTATACAAAGTCTATGTATACAAAGCAGTTCATAAAAGTAGAACTTTCTTTTTACACATTTACGAGAGAGATTGAATTTGTGCGTGTTGTGAGTGTGGTATGCGTGTGTATGATGTACGTATGTGTATGTGTGTAAAGGATATCTATAGAAGAAAAGAAACTATGATTTAGGAAAGTAAGGCAGTATAAACGGTAGAGAAGCAGGATAAATAACACCACGAATTTGTGGAATCGAGAATTTGCGATCTGGAAAAAATCTTTACGGTTACATATCACAAGTTGAAATCTATCTTATATATTAGTAATATCATATTATTATAATATCGTAGTATTATAATTGTATAACAAATCTGCAGTATTTTGTGCTCGAAGAATTCTTGATTACACAAAAAACGGTGAGCCATCTCTTTATTATCCCATTTATGTGTTTTGTTCTGCGTTTTTGAATTAGAATAACGTAATGGTTTTAGTAGCGGAATGAGAAGACCTCTTTTATGTGCATGCGTTTTCTTGTTGTACCACATAAATGAGGCACACGTAAAGAAGAGCTTCGGTATCATGTTTACACCGTCAAATGGATGAAAGAATGCACGAGTGCTTTTCGACCAGGAAATAACATTCGTTAAATTAAGCGAACACATTGACGATACGACGCGATCAGTTTGTTGAATCTCATTGTCAGTCTTTTCTTGTCACAAAAGTCTCGTCAGTACGCGCAACGCAAACGGACTCTTCGTTATGTCACAATACCCTTCAGGTGCAGCTACCTGTTAATCGCAGTTCCTCTCTCTCTTTCTCTCTGTTTCTTACAATACATATCTGGATCTATAGATCCGAAAATCCACTGACAATGAATACGATTATTGCAGTAAAATAAAAGGCACGATCTTTAAAACTAAAGAATTACGGAAATTTAAATATAAAAATCTCTGAAACTAGGATCGATGCGTGATTGGAATGGTTAGCTCGATGTTTTGAATTGAAAATTACAAAATTATAAAGCGAAGCTCCAAGAAATCATGTATCTAAGAATAAATGTCGTGTCCGCAATATCGAATGTTCATGGAACTATAAATTTGAAGGGTCCATCAACATCGAATGAAATCGTGGATATTCGACGACCTAAGATCCAGCAATACGCACTAATCCTTCAGTTTTCAATATCGCCCTGTAGGTCCTTAGAAGTTACATTATAACGTTTGAGATTTAAAGTTCCTCCAAAAATGTATAAATTTCGAGGACTTGGCAACCTGTGTACATTCTAAGAACCTACATAGGTCGAAGCGATTATTGGAAGGAGAAGGATTAAAATTAATTCGACAACCGCGTAAGGTCACAAAGAATCGTTGTTAATTCTCATTTGTTCATTTACGCATATAGGAGCAGTCGCGCTGTCCTAAATACTCATTCGCGTGGTACCGTGTAAAGCATGTAAATTCGATTAAGTACACAGAATCGACAGTATATGTACATTTATATAGGTTTACATACATAGAGATATATTATATATATACACATATTATAAAAGAAATACGAGACCGGTGAATATGTATAATTTTTTGGTTGTATAGATCTGAACGTTATTTCCGAAATAATTCTATTTTATATATTATTATTACATCGCGTCGTCGATGATAACGAGCGATAATCTTCCAATGCCGGCATTGTATCGAAGAAAAAAAAATTAAAGAACAAGCGTGATCGAGGACGTACCGCTTCGTAACGAAGAAACAGGTTGTGAAAAGAAAAAAAAAGAAAAAGCGGAAAATATTGAGTATCGAGCCAACGTCTGTCGGATTTTCGGTACGAAAGTGCAATTTATCTTCTAGTTCACGTTCGCGAGGAGAAACGTAAGGTTGTGCAAACGATGATTAATAAATTGTATTGCGGAAGCTTTAATAAACATACGTAAAACCGAAGCTTTCATTCGAAGCTTATGATCCCTCAATTGTATATTACTCGTTTCACCATCTTTTCAATCTATTTGTAAAATGCATGCATATCTACTACTTTGTTCATTTTTTTTCATGCGGAATCTCTCGGATATGCTATTGGATTGTAAATCACGTATTATTGTTGAACGATTCTTTAAAATAACGTCTTTGATCGACAATTTATTAAACTGTGAAATAAGATACCGCAACGAGATATAAAACAGCGTCACGAATCGCAGTAAAAAGAAATATCCTAACGCTGAAGATCTACATTAATAATCTGCGTTTAGCGCTTGCATGCGACTGTTCAATTACAAGTTTGACTCGTTTGTTATAACAAAGTTACACGCATTTCTGTTACAGAGTTTCAGAAGATCATATTTATCACTGAACGTAGGACGTGAGAATCTAAAGATAACGAATGGATGACGCCGATGGGGGAGGGGGAGGGGGTAAGAAAAAATATCGGAGACTACGATTATAATTAAATCATCTTTATTCTCTCGTACGTCGATTCAGTAAAATCTCTCAAACTCAATCTGTGTTTCTCATATACATATATAGAATTCTCTTTCATATACTACATCTATTCTCAGGACATTCGTAGAACGATGCCGTTCGGCAATAGTTATTTACATATTTAGACTACCACACACACATTCACTCGCGACATCCATCCTCGCACGCACGTGTGTACATCGAGCGATCTAGGAGACGAATTGTCAGCGTTGTTCCCAGAGCTCCTCCTGAAAAGGATTCCTTTACGGTTTTCAACAACAACAAGAGACTCGCAAACAGCGTCACCGGTCTAGAAAAAGATATTCCAAATAGATATCTCGATTTTTAGAAAAACAGATATACACACAAATAAGCGACTCGATCGTCGTAAGAAAAGATCTCGAATCACTCTGTCAGTCGAAACCAATTTGTACCAATTTATAATTTCGTTATATCTAACAATGACACACATTTACCTTTCACTTGAAACGATAAATTATAAAGATTTCATGTAAAAAAAACCGACGAGCTTATTTCCTCCGAATATTTTCACTATAAGCGAGGAAACGACGTGAGCTCGGCGGTATCTCCTCAAAGGTATCTCTCTATGAATTTTCACAATTAATTCTTGGAATTTTCTCGCTTGTGGCAAAGAGCATCGTTGCTCCCCTCCCCCCTTCTCGTCAAACGATTAAATTTGTCACAGAGTTGATGAGAGATTCATTACAGACGCGAGAGTTAGACAAAACCTAAATCTCGACCCTTTCCTCCCCGGTATAATCGTATTAAAATACACTTGAATAGAGAAATTGTTACAAAAATCTTGCAAGCTTTATAAACTTTTTTCCTAGTATTCAAACGTATTTGTTTTGGGAACGATAGGGCAGAAGGGATCGTCCTTCGACTTTGTACGATTAACACTTTGTACAATTTCGGTCTGAATTATAACATCCATGATCATTCTGGACCACGGCTTTGGAGCATGGCATAGTTTAGGATTTACATTCGCATTTCACTGGGAAATAAGTGCGCGTGCAACTGCAATTTCATAAAATTATATATATAAATATATATATATATATATATATATATATGTGTGTGTGTGCGTGTGTGTGTGTGTATGCGTGTGCGTGTGTGTGTAGTTGTAGTACAAGGAATTGTACATGTCGCGAAATGAAACACGCTCTAATTGCACGCGCAACATTTGATCTCTTACGATAAAATTCTCAGTTTTATCAAAAGCCATTTTGCTGGGATCAACTTGCCAAGTATCCCTCTGGCGATTCAAACTGTTAAGAGACGTTTGCCGAGAAATTATATCAATGAAAATATCGGCGCGAAATGTCTATGGATAAGCGCGATTGACCCTATTTTGTTCGTCTCCCGCTTATCACCGCCATCCGCTTGATGAAATACGTAGAATACCAAAAATTTAGCGATTACTTGTTACTTATTGTCAATAGAATATATAGAAACTTGCGCTTGTGTAGTTGACTGTTTGACAAATTGCAAGATGCAAGAGTAAAAATAGCCATATAATTGCACGTGCAATTATTACTCAGCGCGAGACAGGTACAAGAATGCTTGTAGTTGTCACCATCGCGAGGGCGACGATCTTATTCTACATAACATTAACCACTAGCAACGTGGCGAATATATATGTATCTATATCCTATACGTATGCATACATAAATATGATATACGTCTGTGCATGTACACACATATATATATTTATACATACATACGTACGTATACATATTTACATTTGTAACGAGATTTGTAAGAGAGTAAATAACCACAAAAAACGATAGATATAATTTAAAATACAATAATAGAATAGTTAGTATTTCGTTTTTCCGAAATTGCGAGCTACCTAAAACGCGATAACTTTGACGATACCTTCGACGAGACTCGAATCTGTTTTAACGTACACAAGGGTATAAAAAAAAACATATGTATATAATACCGAAGTACAGCGTTGCTAGACAAAAATTACGCCAATTTTTCAAGCTCTGAATGTTAATAAATAAAACGCAACATAAAGCAACATGTTTGATTAAAAAATTTAAATAATAAGTTAATCTCCTAAACCTTAATCCTACATGAAAAGTACAAAAGGTACATCTTATTTACATGAAAAATATACATATATATAAACCTGCCTGGTAATTAAGATAAGAAAGTCATATATATGTATATTGTAATAAGGATTTCACCTGCATCGCAGTTGACTAAGCTATTTTTATTTCTTTACGCAAATTATAAACGTGCAAAAAGATAATAAATCGCTTTACATTTCCAAAAAATATATATATAACTACGCTAGAGTTAAAAAGATAAGAACCTTTTTTGCCTCGTATTGTAGAACTTAATTTAAGTTCTCTCACGAAACACAAATTCGAGTCATCTTCGAAATTTATCGTCTGTGATGTAACGCGCGATCACTCGGTAACCGCGAATATTTCTCGATCGCAATCTCCTGCAATCAATACACACATTACATACCTCATGCCCGCATACGCACATACACACGCACACACACAAATATACATATATATACAAAACACCTCAGAGAATATGGTAATCGGTAATAGAAACTTTATCTTCTCAATGAAGCTAAAAATTAAACATTGCTAAACAAAAAAATTACATCTTTGAAGTAACTTTTAATTGTCAACATTAAATATCTTGATAATTAATCCGTAAAATCAGATGCGCACAGAATCTCGAATTAGAAAGTAAGCTTATTTTTTTATTTATATTCCTGAAACTTGATTCGTTACATCTCTTAATTTTCAATATTAGATGCCAATATTAAATTATACTAAATTATATTAAGAAATATTAATTATAGAAATTATTAACGCGTCTAATATAGCTAATAAATCTAATTATAAGAAATATTAGATAATTTTAAGCTATATTAAGAAGCCTACTTCTCAAATTTCTTTGGAAATAAATGATTCTTATATTTTCTGCGATGTACTGTATATGCAAGGCATTCAGGAAGTTTTTCAGTTTTAGTTAACAGTGATGTACATTTAAGTAATAATTCGTTAAAGTATTTCGTTTAAGGTAATCGCCACGTTTTTTTAGGTCAGTGTTCCTTAAACTGTGTTCCATGAAAATCTGGAAATATAACAGATAACTCTACATTGATTAGTATGTTAATTGCGACAAATATTTATCCTTTGTTATAACTATTTCACTGTAGTCCATCCAACATAAGTAAGATTTAATCATAGAAAGAAAGTTACACTGAAAAAGTTTAAACTATTCCTTATGCTTTATATACAAGGTGTCCGTCCAGATGTCCTTTCTCGCACACACGTACACAGATATTCCTTTATTTATAATATAGATATCTGTTTAACGAAAATTAGCAATTTTTAACATCTCTATCAACTATTCATAGTTTCAGCAGTGAAACAACTATCACCCTTTTTCTCTCTCTCTCTCTCTCTCTCTCTGTATTCGATTGAACTTCTAATTGAAAGGACATCGGCAATGATTGTAACGGAGCACCTTATAATCGTAACTTTCGCCTGCCGTTGTTTCTCAAGGAAAATCTTTATAGAGGCTCGAGGCACGACAAAGAAAAGACTCTATCCTTTGGTGTCCCGTGATTTGTAAGTTTAAGAAGCACTGGCGTTATCGATCACTGCCAGCGTGTTACATCTACGCGCGGCGAGAGACAGTGGTGCATTAAGTTTACAATTTCCCAAGACAGATCGACTGTCTTCGGGACTAGAATCGATCGTCTACTGTACACTTTCCATTACGTCTTCCCCTACTTTCCAACGGTTTGCTCCTTCCCGCGAAATAAAAAATAACCGCCAAAAAACTAGCTAGTATATATAAGACACTTATTACAGTTAAAAATTAAGTTTTCAACGCTCGCTCGTATGTATATCTCCTTTACCACGGGGTCGTCAAAAAAAAGGCCGCATATTGTTTCGACGTGCAACAACTCCAAAGATCTGTGGAACATGGATCTGCGAAGATAGATTACTTTAAAGATTCAACATCAATGATTTTTATTGACCGTATCTGACAATTAAAATGCTTATTGCGAAAAATATTACCCCAACCAGGATTCGAACCTGGGACCTCCCTCAATCATTGAGGGATTGAGGGAGGTCCCAGGTTCGAATCCTGGTTGGGGTAATATTTTTCGCAATAAGAATTTTAATTGCCAGATACGGTCAATAAAAATCATTGATGTTGTTAATTACTGCTGGCGACTTTTAAGAGTATTCTTAATAGTTTAAAGATTCAGTAGTGTAAGAGGAAAGCTAACAAAGATCCATAAAGTGCTACTAATGTAAGATATTATGGTACTATAGTACTATTCATAATTATAATCTGAATTCAAAGATGCATGGTACCAGAATACCTATACACAAAAACACTATCAAATATTCAAAACAATGATTGTTGAAACGAGGAGTCTACCTAATAACAATTATTCATCAAACAGTTTCCTAGTTCCTACTCGTCACAATTTATAATGACAAGTGTTTTTAAAAAATAAACTCTGTCTAGAAACTAAGAACTTGTAGGCGCAAAAGCGCGGAAGGATAAGAAAATCCACCGAAAGTCTACAATATCAAAGATTCATGGAACCAAGAATCCATAGAAGGATGTATAATTGTGATTGTCCATGGAATCAACAGTCCTTGGAGCCAAGCATACATGTGTTTTGCGTCGACGACCTCCGAAAAGAATATAAGACAATTTCAAACAGCATTCAAATTCGCCAGTTGGCATAGCGCCGATACTTTGGCTCGAGCTGCTTCATCACTTCTTTGAATTCGTCGATTTCATCATCGTCGACATCATACTCGATCGCGTTTGTCTTGTTCCCTTCGCTATCCTTCGCCTTCTCTTCTTTCTCCTCTGCTGCATTATTTCGGGCTGCAAAAAATAAACCATTGGCTTTGTCCCGTAAAGTAATATCCGTGAGGATAAATTATGCATTTTGCATTTTGAAAGAAAAGCTGTGCAAAAGCTTCCAAAACATTATATAAAATCTCGGCCAAGAATGGAGAAGTTCAAAATTTTTAACTTAATTATTTATTGCTGTAACTATAATCAATTTACTTAAAATTTGTAATATATAATGTACATACATTGATGTTGGTATGATAAAAACGTGCAAAAGCAGAGGAAATATTAAGAGGAAAATGTACACACTAACAATAAGAGGAAAATATACATACATATGTATATATATATATATGTACAAACGAGGCAGAAACAAGAAATTATATAAAACAAACAAAAAAAACTTGTCTATCAATGACTTGTTAATAAAGCAAAAACGTTACTGTGTTTGTCAATAACAGACAAGAGTAATTTAACAAAAAATAATTTAACAAAAGTAAATTAACAAGGAAGTGAACGAAAAGATTGCCAACAAATCGCGAGGTAAAGGCTGCGTTGAATGTTGAGTAGAAATCTTGTGTATTAACACGTGAATCTTTCAAGATTTTCAAACAAACAATTCTGCAAAAGAAATGAACTATACTCTTCGTCATATTTAGCGATTGTTGCTTAACAATCCGTTACATTAAAATCACGATGGACAGAACGTTTCAAACTTTTTCAAGTTCTCTCCACAAGGTTGCCAGCAATAGCAAGAATAAAAGCTGATGCCGCAAGATGCAAAAGCGAAAGCCAAGAAAAGTCGAAGCGGTGAAAGGAACATCCTTTCCGTCAGTCGCGTTAAATCCTTAGAATGTATTGCTCTTCCACGTGAACGCATAGCATAAAGGCATAAATCATCCACTCACAAGTGCAATTATCTCTGTTGACATTGTCATCCCTGTTTCGTAATAATTTTGAGCCGAAAGACTAGTATGACGAATATCACTTATCGGATAAATTGAATTTTGTAAAATTTCAATCCGAAATTGAACTGTGTAGTAAACTCATCTGTCCTCTTAGTTAAACGATTCCCTAAATCCCAACCGAGTCCTAGTCCTGTCTGGCTCTTTCAACCACGTGATGGTGCGGAACATATTTTACTCTTCTTCTCTGTCGAGATTACGTGGCTGAGATCTCGCAAGTCAGCTACGCCGAGTGAATGGCGTAGCGCATTCTAGGGTACTCGTAGGAAGTTGCGAAGAAGCCGAGAGGAGAAGGCACCGGTACCGGCGCTCAGTATACTCACCTGGTGCCGTGCATGGCTGCCGGAGAGTGCGCGACGCTTTCGTCGGCGACGGTCCGCGCCGTACTGACGGCCGTACACTTGATGCTGTTGAGGTACGCGTCATTATCAACCAGTCGCGCCTCCTTGTCGAGAAAATCCGTCGCGAACTCCTCGTACTCGTCGTTGTCGTCGTCCACGCCGTTGTCGTCGCGCGGGGGCCTCTTCGGGACGGCCACGAGCTCCAGCGCCCGCTCGGCGGCGGGCTCCACCCTGATGCATATCGATGAGCATTCCGACTCGATCCCGGAGTCCACGCTCTCCTGGAGGCTGCTGCGCGGCGGTGGCAGCGGATGCGCGTCCGCCGTCCCGACGACAGTTTCGTCGATCGTGGTCTCCTCGATACCGGAATCCTGGCTGTTCCTGTGCACGCCCTCGGGATTCTCAATCAGCAGCGTGCTCGTCGACGTAGTCCTCGAAGTGGACAGTTCCAAGTAGGACTCGGCCTGCACCTTGGCGGTGTCGTTCGGTGAGCTCCTGGACGGAACGCTCGGCGACAGCTCGTCCTCCACAGACGTGCCGTCCGTCGAGATGTCCGTCATGCAGAAGATAAGCTCCTCCGCGTCGGACTTGTCCTGACTCGCAGACGTCATCTCGTACGGCGTGACGAGGATGGTTGGGTCGAGCCGCCTGCCATCGTCGATGCCGTCCTCCAGCTGCTCCTCATTCTCGGCCGCGTCCTCTTTAAGGATAGTTCGATGTACGTCGACATTATTTGGCATGAAAGACTGTCCCTCCCGGCTTCCCGAACTCGTCGTCACCGATTCGCGCGGTTCTACCTTAATATTTACACTTGTACTTTTACGGTCGGCGGAATCGCGGCAAGCATCATCATCGAGGACCTCCGCCACGTCCTCCTTCCCCCTCTCCTCCTCCTTCCTTGTCGTAGACTCGCATTGATCTTGCTCGACAACGCAGCACGTGCTACTGGTAACTTTCTCTTCGTTTAAATGGTCGTCCGAATCGACGCCCTTGAACGATTTCGACGGCGCCCCGACATCGTCTGCCGACGTCGACGACGCCCAGACGTCGTTCAACGACGTCGACGACACCCCGCAGTTGTCTGGCGTACATTTAATCGACGTGCACGTCGACCCTCTCGCGGTACTTACGCTATCTACGGTGTACCTATCATGCCCTATGTTACAAATCGGAAAACTACTATCACTAGTCTGATTAATACTGTCCGTGGTTGTATCACATGTCCTCGCCGTTAAGGCGTTCGCTTCTCCAGCCTTCGCCCCGTGGTATTCTGAATCTTGCGGATTGTCACGCTTCAAGCGTTCAGCGTCATTACGCTCCGTATGTACTGAATTCACATCGTCACTAACAAAATCGTCGTTACACCCTGTACTGTCGGTCTTACTTAATTCTAAAGCAGAACACCCGGCTACGTCAGTTAACTTTACAGCTATACACACAGCGGATTTGCTCGTCACGTCTAATACTAAATTATCAACAAAGTCGTCCTTTGATTGCACACTTTCAGGTAACAGTCGATCACTAAGGTCAGATTCGGTCCATTGTAAATTATTCTTCTCAACACTTTCCTCATTAACGGGTACATTTTGCATAGAATCTTTCTCGTCGTTTCTCGCAATCCCGTTGTCCCGATCTCCCAAGCTTTCACTGTCTCTCGCGGGCATCTTCTTCCAATTATTTAAATTATTTAAATCGTACTCATTGTCATCACTCGCAACCATATCTTTCTCCCGATGCTCCTGATCTTGTACATTCTCGCTGTTTTCGATAACCCGAGTCTTCTCTTGATCTTCAAAGCTCTCATCGATTGCACTCCCAGCAACTCGTTCCTTCTCTCGAGCCTCTAAGTCTCCTTGGCCGGTCTCCACAATCTGTTTTTTAACCTGATAAAATAAATTGCACGCGGCATTCGAACTCTCTTCTTGGTCGATCAAATTCTTTTCATCGTCCTTGATATCCCGGTCGAACAACTTCTGCTCGTCGTTTCTCCTTACCTGATTATTTTCTTGAACAAATAGATCGTCCTCGCCATCCCTGACAATCTGATTCTTCTCATCATTCCTCGTAATCTCATCTCGTTCCTGACGAAATGAATTACTCTGGTCCCGCTCGATCGGATTCTTGTCATCGTTTCCCGCAACCAGACTCTTCTCCTGACCGAACAAGTCTTGGTCAATTCTCGCAACCTCTCCTTCGAAATCTTTCTCTCTGACATTCGTATCCTGACCTTTTGCCTGATCGAAGAACTTGGCGCTGTGCTCAACAAGACTCGTGTGGGGTTCGAGCTTGAAAGATGCGAATATGTTGGTCAGGCTCTGTAACTGCGATACGTTTATTCTGACCGATCTGTTTCGTGACAAGGATCCATGTTCCGAAGACCACGAGCCGTCGGTGCTCACCTTGGCTCGGCCTTCCTTCAGGTACTGCTGCAACCTGTCGCCCAGTGCCATCATGCTACTTACGCTCTCCTGCAGAGAGCTTCTCGTATCCGCGACAGCGCCCGAAGAGTCCGAGAAGAACTGACCGGGATGTTGGAACAAGGACAGGAGCTTCTCCAGGCTGGATTTATGCCTCTGCACCGACGTATTCTCCTGTTGCCGCGAATGCGACTCTGCCACGCGAGTCGAGGACGTTTCCGAGGTAGTGCTTACGGAAGACTCGAAAATGCCGGTGGACAATCCTTCTGAAATTGTCCGATTCACGCGCAATTCCGGAGAGTCATCCGAGGACGATTCGATCAAGGCTTTGTCCTCGACTACGCTAATCCTCATCGAGGCTGTATCCTCGTTCGGATACGCAGGTACCTGTAGTTGTTTTGTACTCGTATACACGACGCGACGATCCTCGATCGCCTCGGTATCCTTGTCGGATGTTACGACGCTCTCGAGATCTACCGTAACGTTCTCGTTTCTTTCAGACATCGCAGTTGTGTCCTTCTGAGCTAATCGCTCTTCCACGACCTCACTACATGTCGCAATAACGCTCTCGTCCGCCCAGATTCGCGATTCAGTTCGGTATACATTCGATCGCACCTCCTCTTCCTCCTCCCCCTTCGTCCCTTCGTCACAACGATCTTCGTTTTTGGCAATGTCTTCGTTTGGGGATACTTGTGTTGATATCGCAACTACGTTAAGCGTGTCTATGGACGCGACTGTACTATCGCTAGCGGCCTGCGTCGCATGCGTGTCCATTTTGGTTGCGCTGTCGGGATCGTCGGAGTCGGCCGCGTCGATTCTGACATTAAAACCGATTGTGACCGAGCTGCCGCTGGAGGAGGCGACGACCGATTTGGGCGACGAGCGGTCGGCGCCCGCCGACTCGACGACCGACACGCGGAACCGCGACGGGCCGCCGCTCGTATTGGGGAAGAAAGACGGGGAAGAACCAAGGGATGGGGAGGAGCCAAGAGATGGCGGAGTGACCGGCGAGGAGGACACCGAGGAGTCGGCGGAGCGCAACGATGCTTCCGACACTCGACACACGACGAAACGATTCCGGGACGGGCTGGGGATCGGGCTGGCCACGGGAGAGGGAATGGGACTAGGAGCCGGGGAGCGCAGACGGCCTCCGCTGGTACGCTTTGGCTCCAGCATAGTGCGCGTCGCCGGCTCATCGGCGGCTAATATCGCCGATCGCGACGGACTTGGCAGTGTCTGACAGGTAAGCGAGATCTTACGGGAGCTCGCGTTCAGCAACCGGTTTGAATGCTGCGGGCTCTCAACATCCTCGCCCGACTCCTCCAGCAGACGGTGCTCCTCGTTTTGGCTACAGCAACTACGAATTTCCGCAGCCATTTCCCTATACTCGTTCAACGGACCGTCCTTTGTGTTTCGAAAATAAGAACAATTGTTAAACTGCACGAATAACAAATATTATACTTGGCACGAAGATTATACACAACTGACTTGCCGAAATAAACGAAATATATGAAATAGGTAGCGACACTCACTAATCTTATCCGAGGTTTGTCATCCAAATCAATCTGCGTAATGGTCTTGTTCTTTTTCATGACATTAACGAGAGCTTGCATTCCGCGCATCCGTATGCTGTTATCCCGTAAATCTATCCTCTGCAATAAGAGTGATATAAAGCATAGCCAACTATCGAGAGCTCAAGTGAAAGGCTTTACCTGCAAGACTTGATTCGTCTCCATTATCTCAGCGAGCGTGATTATTCCGTCGCATGTGAGTTCCGTAGATTGCATGCCCAATTGTAGGAGAACACGATTTTGCTTCAATGACTCGTTAACGATGCTCAAGGTCTCGTCCGTCAGCATATTCTGGCCGATATTCAGAGTCTCCAATGTTTTCGATAATGCCTAAACATAATTATTATCGGTGTAGTTATGGATGGTCAGCTAACATGATGTGATGAATAGCACAGCTTTTTGTGGCTTAATTTATTTTATCTTCAGCCGATTTTAAATAGCTTCAGGTTTCCTCTCATTTAAGACTTTTACAAATTGTATATAAACCGTTAACTTGCTTATTTCCAATTACGCGCTAATATATTTATTAATAATAGCACAAATAAACATGTAAGAACGATAAACATGCTAAAGATTACTGATATAAAATAATAGTAACAATCTAGTAATTAAAGTAATTTTACTAAATACAATCTATTTACAAGAGAATGGTAAGAGAGAACTATACAATTTACATTTATATAAATCACAATAATTACCATACAATAAGTACGTATCACCAATAACACAATTGAAAACAATATATCGAAAGATATTCGTAATACGTACTATAATCCTCGAGATGTAAGGTGACGATTTCTTGGTGAGACGATTATTCCACAGTATCAGAATACTAAGTCCCTTGCCAGTTTTGTCCTCGTTCACTTGATTAATCAGGCCCTCTAATATATCTCGTACCCCGTCGTCCTGGACGTTATTATTACTAAGAAAAAACATTTAAAACAAAAACAATCTGTACTAACATCATTTACTCACTTAATGCATGCCTCTCGCAAAGACGAAGCAAAAGAAACTACACATAAAGATATTGTCCTTACATTTCTTATGTATATTTCTACCAATTTTTGCGAAAAAGTGAAAAGCATTTACAGAAATCTAAAGATCAAATAAAAAAAACACGAATACACTTTATACACGCATATTCCCGAAAAAGCTTCAAAACAATAATTGTTCTTAATTATCAAATAGTACATACCTAATATCGAGCAATTGTAACTGATTGTTCATTCTTAAGAGAGATCCAAGCTGTATAGCGTCGTATAAGTCAAGCCCGTTATCGGCTAAATATAGTTCCCGTATACCGCTATTTATTTTTAGGGCTGTAACTGTTAGGAAAACAAGAGTCATAATCCATATGAATCAATTATAAAAGAGAGCAAACTTTTAGATTTAATTTTAAATCCTTAACAATTGTAATAATATATTTCAACTGTACTTTAATTGCAGTAATTTTCTCTCGTAAATATTATAAAAATAAATGCTGTTTCATTAATAAATTGCAAGCAACACGACAATTACATTGTAAATGCAATGTCGTACATAAAATTCTAAAGCATAAGAAAAAAATGTGTTGCGCGATAAATACCAAGCATGATAACTGCTCTGCCCGACAGTCCACAATTTTCCAATTTAAGGACTTGAAGATGGCAAACTACCCGCAATGCACGGGTTAAAATGTTCATGTTTTGTTCGTCAAACTTTATGTTCCCTGCTTCAAACTGTTCTAAAGTCTCAGTCTAAAGAAATAAGGACTGTATTAATTACACTCTTAGCATCCTCACTTAAATATACAATAATATCACGATAGTCATTATACATCTAGGGTATATCTTGGGATATAGACAAACAGTAATGAACTGAAAGAAATATAAAAAAAAAGAAACTTTGGAAAGTAACGTAGGAAGATTGCTTATGGTCACCAGTAATGAATACAAATTTTAACAGGAACTTATAGTCAACCCAACTGGCTAGTTGCTTTATTTAAAGTTGATACTGTATCAACTTTAATACTGTATCAACAGTTGGATTGACTATAAGTTCCCGTTATAATTTGGAACTTTGACATACGACTAATAAGACTGTCTTACAAAAATCCTTCGATTGGTTGCATAAGTACCTTCTTAATCATGTGTGAGCACGCTTGCCAGCCGCGCGCTCCGATTTCTGGATTAGACGAAATAGTTAAGTGTCTCGTGGATTCATAATATTCTATCATATCAAATAATATCACGGAACTCTGTAATAATAATTGCTCATTAATGTCATGCGTATATTTATAAATATATTCAACGAACTAACACACGTATATGTATCTTTTCAGAGAAGTACCTCGTCATTTAGAAACGTTCCTTCTAAATCGATTTTATTAAACTGCACTCTCTTCAGTATCTCCTCCAATGGTTCGATATGATCCTGATCCAAGACTTTTCCCTTCAAATTCAGCTCTTCGCAGCGATCTTGAGATATATCCAAATTCTACATATAACAAGAATGAGAGAACATGTGAAAGAGAATCACAAAATCTTTTTCCCTACAAAGTTCACTCGAAGCTTGTAAAAACTTTTCTTCATTCTTCAATGCAGCGTGTCGGTGCATTGCTACGATTTGATTTATCTGGTAAAAAAAAAGTTTTACTATATCGCTATAGTGTTAGCAGCACGTACAAAATGTCGTAACAAAAAGTAAAAAAAAGAAATTTGGCTTATCTCAGACAGTTCGGCGTTTCCAGCAAATAAACAAGCTCAAGCTTTCGTGTACATAGAGCCGATTTTTGTGAGGTACTCAAACCTGAGTTTAACATTGCTTTTGATATACGCCATAAAAGACGGCTATGTAATGTCATAAGACAATTGCTTGGAGTGTTATAGAGAAGTAGGATTTTTACCTCCAGTTGAACTAAAACATTTTGCAAGGGTTCGGTGGCGTGACGTGCGCAAGACTCCTCGTATGCAAAGATTAAGTCCTCGCGATTCACATTTTCAGCTGGGAACAATTATTAACAGTTTTACTTCATAGTGCACAAACAACATGGATTATAACACAAATTTCAAAAATCACGCCTTGATTTGAAATACACATATATCTTTGTGTATGTTACGATAACGGGAGATAGAGAATTTTAAAGCTAACAGAAGGCAGGAGGTTTCGTAAAGGTGACATAGAGGAAATTTTAAATAACTCTTTTTTTGTATGGAGATACAAATAAAATTTTTTACAAATATTTAGTGTCCTCGATATGCAATTCCCCTCTGCCGTGATTAAGTATTTATATATTATGTCACAAGACACGTAACACATAAAATATATATGAGTGTGAAGTTAAAGAAAAGTCTGTATTACCATGGTGTATAATAATCTATTTATTTATTTTACAAGAGTCATTGTTTTACACAATAATTACAGTGAGAAAAAAACATATATATCTATTTGTTACAGTTCTCTGTCGTACGTAGTATCAGATAAGTTTTAACATCACTATTTCTTTGTCATCAAACTTATAATTAGTACGTGGTTCACATTGCGAAATCCTTCGCTTGGGACAGTCTATAAAAAAACCTGATAGCATAGTAACAAAATACAACCGTGCTAAGGAATAAAGAAATCACGTGGACGACTTGGGCGCTTTAGAGTGTCATAAAGATGTTTCCGTGAATAAACAATTTATTATTCCGGCTCTGGGTAAAACAATTAACAAGCGTACAATTTCTGACAAACTGCAAGAGGATTTAATAGAAATTAATTGAGAGATTAATCGCATATTTATCATGGTTCTTCAACACATTTACATATTGCAGCGTACATTAGGCATTTTTCACAATGCGGCTGAGTGTTTTCTGCTGTATCTCCATTTATAACAACTTACAGTCTCGGCCTGATATTCGATAACTAAGTGATTTGTACAAAGCTACGACTCCCTGCTTAGTCTTTTTTTTTTAAATCTTGAGAACAAACAGAAACAATCCTGCAACATCGTAACATCGGATTAATTATTACATCGTACAGCTGTGCCAGGTCGTAAGCACCAGTAGTTAGTGAATTTACGTCACGGACAAAACTGGCGTCATGTTTGAGCACAAACACGAAGCATCCCTCAAATCCCATGGACGAAACATCCACAAACTGACCGCGTCAATTTTTGCCAGCACTAATCCTGTGTCGTAAATGTCAATGAGAAATCGCCGACCAGATGTACTCAACCTAGGTGGACGGTGATCGGTCGACGTTGTTAAACCCCGAGTTAACACACGGTGCAATCCGGTGCGACGCGCGACCCGGTGATAGAAACCAGGCGCGAAGGAGCGAGGGGGGGGGGGGGAAGACAGGGTTAGCGGGGTACTCACCGTGCCGCCAGGGATTGTCGGGTTCGAGGTAGCCTGTCACCAGGTGACTGTCGCTCAGGGGAAAGCTGACTCGTCGGGGCGGCCATTTCTTGGTCCAGGCCAGAGCGCTTCGCAGCTGACGGCCGTCGACCCACACGTAGGGCGACGGTGGAAGGCCGCCGGTGCCGAAGCGCGGTCTCCTACCGGTGGACGTCGCCGTCGACGGAGGCGACGGAGGCGACGACGACGGAGGCAGCGGCGGTTGTGGTGGCGGCGATGGTAGCGGCTCCGTCGCCGTCGGCGTCGGCGGCGGCGTCGACGGCGTCGCATCACGCTCACCCTCGTCGTCCAAGGTCGCGAGCGTATCCCCGCGGGTCTGTGCAACCGAGTCTGCTCCCTCGCTCATGCTTCCGGAGCCTCTGACATATTTCGTCGGAACACGTCGGAAACGCGGCCCCGCGATCACCCAACGCGGCCAGACACGCGCGCACTTAGGCGCGTACACGACGGAATCGCGTAATCGCACGCGTACGCACGTATGCACGCATGCACGCACGCACGCACGCACGCACGCACACACACGCGCGCGCGCGCGCACATACACAAAAGCCCGCGCGTTCACTCGCGACAGCTACTGCCCGCTGGCCGGGCTGCACAACGTTTGTCAGGCACGTCAACGCGCCTAGCAGAGGCACACGATCCCTGCGCGCACTGCGCCCGCCATCTTTGTTGCCATCGAAGTCAAGCGAGCCAAGCGAGCCAAGTTACGCACGCCGCCATAGACCTGCGGGCGCGTTCCCACTGAACGCGTCACGCGTCGTGTCGTGTGTGATGCCCAATGAGCGAACAACTTTTGCTAGAGCAGAGAGAAACCAGGATTGACTACGTTTCCACCAAGGGTCAGAGTCGGGCTAGAGTCGGGTCAAAAACATGCAAACCTCAACCCGATTCTGACCGGACTCTAGCCCGACTCTGACCCTCGGTGGAAACGTAAGCCGGTATTCATAGTCGATCTTCAAGACAGTCTTGAATTTATCTAAAGTCTAAAGTCGCAGAGTCGTAGTCGTAAGAATAATCGGCTGTAATTGATCAATTGCAAGTCCCGAAACGTAAAAATTTGCGAATTTCGCAATTCTCACGCGATATTCCTATGCCCCGGCACGAGTTTGAATAATGTCTCTTATCAGTCATAGTGCTAAGATCGCGTTTTGACTCGATTGCATCGCACTTAAAGATTCCGCGCGGGAATACGACACGTGCAGAAAAATAAAAATTTTTCAGTTCGCACACGATTTTGCTATTCCCAGGCCCGAATTCGATCGTTGTCTCGCAATTCTTCATTCGCTAAAGTCATTACTCACGACGATCCATCCACTTTAAGGTTGGCGCAAAAAGATCGAAAGTCCCAAAAATTGAAAATTTCGTAGTTTAAACACAATTTCCTACGCCCATGCACGAAATCTATCAATGTATCGTTTTAATTCGATAGAGTCTCATTATTGACGACGATGCAGCACAGCTTTAATATTGGTGCATAAAAATCGCAAGTCTCGAAAATTAAAAATATTGCAGTTCGGACACGATTGCGTATTCCCAGGCAAGAAATCTTATGATGTCTCGCAATTCTTGATTCGCTAGAGTCATTACTGACGTCGATACGTCAACTTTAATGTTGGCGCAAAAAGACCGCAAGTCCTAAGAATTAAAAATTTTGTAGTTCTAACGCGATTTCCTATGCCCCTGCACGAAATCTATCAATGTCTCGTAAGTTTTAATTCGCTAAAGTCTCATTATCTTCGACGATGCAGCAACTTTAATGTTGGTGCAAAAAATTGCAAGTCCCAAAAATAAAAAATTTCGTAGTTTAAACGCGATTTCCTATGCCCTGACACACATTTTATGATAAGGGCATACATATTCAACGTAGACATCTGCGGGATGCGAAACGAAGAAGATTGGTTTTTGGTTCATCTCGCTACGTCGATTATTCGCCGAGATATAGCCTTGTAAAAATGGGGCGCGCGCGCACCATTCTTCTGAGAATGTAGCGCGAGTTTTTACGCGAGTAGTACGCGAGCATCAAAAAACTGACTTCAAAACATACAAGGCACAGGTGTTCGATCGTAAACACCGCCGCGCCAGACGCCGCGCGAGACGCCGCATATACGAGTCTGCTACTTGTCTCGGGATTATGTGATCGCGAGTCGATATAATCGTCAAGTTCTTCGCACAGAAAAATCATAGCGAGATGAACATGGTCTCGTTGGAAAGCTAAGATTTCAACGCTTCCCTCGAGATAAGAATCGTTTATCTCGGATCATTAGTTTATGAAATATCGTTAATTAATTCTGAAAATAAAATTACTTTTGTCCCAAGATCGAGAGATCAGGACTCGATATAATCGTCAATTTCTTCGCACAGAACAATCGTAGCAAGATGAACCTAATCTCGTTTGAAAGCTAAGATTTCAGCACTTCTATCGAGATAAGAATCGTTTATCTCGGATCATTAGTTTCTGAAATATCGTTGATTAATTCTGGAAATAAAATTAATTTTGTCCCGAGATCGAGATCTGAGGGTCAATTCTGTATCTTGCACTACAGTGAAAATGCTAAGACCGAGCGACTTTGTCCCCTTCTAAGGGGACAGTTAGATAGAGACCAAGCTACTCAGTTTTAGCATTTTCACTATAGCGCAAGATACAGAATTGACCCTCAGGACTCGATATAATCGTCAATTTCTTCGCACAGAATAATCGTAGCAAGATGTACCTGGTCTTGTTGAAAAGCTAAGATTTCAGCGTTTCTAACCAGATAAGAATCGTTTATCACGGATCCTTAGTTTGTGCGATATCGTTAATGAATTCTGGAAATAAAATTAATTCTATACCGAGATCGAGATCACAAGTCATTAGGCTTGTTTTCTGTTCCTACACTAATGAACTAGTGCAATAAATTGGAGTAAGACAAGCATATTTTTTCTCATTCTAGCTTACTGCACTAGTTCACCAGTGCAGGAACAGAAAACAAACCCAATATAATCATCAATATCTTCGCACAGAAATATCATAGCAAGATAATCTTGGTCTCGTAGGAAAGCTAAGATTTCAGTGCTTCCACAATCGCTTTTTGACGAAGATTCAGCACCTTTTAAGATTCCGCGCGAGACACTGACAGGTGCAGAAAAATTAAAATTTTGCAGTTCGGACACGATTGCCTATTCCCAGGCACGGAATCAAACGATGTCTCGAAATTCTTGATTCGCTAGAGAACTGGCGACGATCCATCCACTTTAAGGTTGGCGCAAAAAAATCGCGAGTTTCAAAAATTAAAAATTTTTTATTTCTAACGCGATATCCTATGCCCCGGCATTAAATCTAATGATGTCTCGTAAGTTTTAA